CAATTACCCAATTTGCCAAACAATAAAGATTCTGCTGATTCAGTGGATCCCTTCAATCAACATTTGATTGAGAGGTTTGCCTCATTGATCTGATGGTTCTCAAAGGACACTTTTATTTCTGCTGATGCCGAGGAGTGCGTTATTAGCCATCCTGTTCGGTTTCAAATAAAAGGCCCTGTTTATGCAGGATAGACTACAGTTTACAGCTTTTATATAAAAAATTGGTAGAGATGGAACAACACTGATTACGTGCGCTTCAAATTTGAGGCAGAAAACGAACAGAGAGTGTAGACATTGAGTTCTCTGACATGTTTAGAAAATTGATATCAAATAAAAAATATTTATGGACACACATACACACCTACATAAAGCTGACACACACAGAAATAAAAGCTGCTTCGCTTGAGCTCAGATTTCTTGTGTTTTACTGCCCTCCATTGCCACACAGATTCATGCAGCCAATAATTCAGATTCCTTCATTATACTGTCTCCATATCTATGATAATAAGCCATGCTCAGAAATACACATAAAAACAACTCCTTACTGGAAGCACTTTTGACCTTTATCAAACATCACTATATGGCACTTATCATTATTCACTACCTCTACCACCTAAGACTGCGTCTGCTGAGTTCTCAATAACAAAGAATTGTATTAGTATACCATATATTAGGTGCTGTTTGATATGTATTAAGATCAGACTGTTCTTCTATACATATAATGTATGCCTCACAGTAAATTTACATTTTGTGTTATGTTTATTTTGGATATATCAGTTAAATCTCTTCTGTCTATACTACCCCACTGGTCTGTTTGTCATTCGTTTTTATATCTTTTGCTATTGTATCTGGTTAGATGCTGAACTACATTTAACTGGTATTTACTTTACACAATGACCACAAAGTTAAGTTAAATCTAATCTGATGTTAATTAAATTAATTAAAGTTGTTGTTACTTTTTTTTATCTCGGTATACTGTATATGTTCTAAACAAACCAACCAATCAGAGCCAAGAAGCTATCTTTCTCGGCTCTGATTGGTTGCTGTCATTCAAACCCGGTGGATTCTTGCAAATGCCATTAGGAGCACTAGGATGAGCTAGAGGAACATAATTCACAGATTATCTGTCTCAAGAACTACTGTCAGGATATAGTTAAAGTTTTAGCAAATGTAAAACAAAAAGTTATTTTTATGAAAATGACCTACTGCAGCTTTAACTGTGCTTTATCAGTGACATGATGCATCGTTAGAGTACTCCTTTAACAAGACAATCACATCGCTTTTGGCTGCAATGACGCAATTGGTGTGAAGATTCAGTTAATGTAATAGATATAATATCTCCAAAATGGTGCTAAATAGCACTAAAAGTAGCTCATATGAGGACAACTTTTGCTACTATACAGCATCTATTTTTAGAAGTGCTATATAACCTTTACAGATAATATGTGCTACTGTATAAAGAACCATTAGAGGTGCAATATAGCACTATATTGATTCAACCAGAATGGTGCTAAATATTACCCAAAAGTGGTTCACCATGTCTTACCTGTCTTTCATACAGGCTGTCTTTTTTTATCCCACCACCAACCCATTCTCCTCCTTTGATTTTATATGTATTAGATTAGAGTAATAAATAATAACTGCACAGGCCTGATATCACCCCCTGGGTGAATCAGCACTACCTTGATATCAACAAACTCAGGTTGATATCACCCTGCTGCATGCAAACCAAACCAACTTTCATTAAATCCTACTTTGACATCGTCATCATCAACCATCATCCATACAAAGTCAGTTGATAACAAGAAGCTCAAACTTGGGAACTTTCTGTAGATGTTACATTTACTCTCATATATCTGCTATGAATTGGAATTTAAGAAAGTAAAGAATAATTTTTGCTTTGTAAACAAGACTACTACAAAGGCAAACGCTGTTGTTCAATCCCTTTTATGCTTTTTTGAGGTCAAATAGAAGAAGCTGGAGTAACTGCATTGGAGTGTGTACAGATGGAGCTGCAGAGCTGACAGGCAGGCTTGTCTCCTTTTGGGGGCTTGGAATATTCTCTTAGACATAGGGGGCCTTGGGGGCAAAAAGTTTGAGAACCACTGCTTTAATGTGTTATCCTCAGGAAATACACTGTATGTAGTATGTATGTAGTGTTTTCATTTTTTCCCAAACTAAACTAAGCTGAAGAACCGGTAGAGTAAGTCTAAAGAACCATACAGGGGGTTTACAGGTTGTCTGTATGGTGCTATATAGGACTTCAACAATCCAAAAGAACTGCTGAAGAACCTCTCTCTTTTCCAGCGTATCATAATGTATCAAGTGAGCTGTGTGAACGGAGATATTTCGCAAACCGAGGGCTGCAGATTGCAACATCTCAGAATAAGTAATGTGAGTTCATCTAAAAGCTTTAACTGTTATAGATGAAGTACTGATAACTCAACTGATATACCCCACAGAGCATAGTTTAGGAAAAACAACATGATATGTAAAAAGAATGTATTTATTTTTCACTGTATCACTGGTGCTCGACTTGCACCTTTGCTCTGAGATATGTACCTTCACATTCACATAAACCAGTGGTAGACTGTGTTGTAATGTAAAGGTTTTGTGAGGAGTGGATCATCAGAACAGAACAGAGTGGGGGTAGTGACTGAAAGAGCCATAGCTCAACAACAAACAGCTGCTGAAGTGCCAATGATCAATACAGTTGAAAACCTTAACTACAACGAGGTTGTCTGTGCACTTAAACTTTAAAACGACATAACTAAATTAAGCACATGGGGGGAAAAGCATGTCAGATCCCTCAAATGTGTGAACTCTCGTAGGCTTTTATACAAATTTCTTCAAACAAATGAAAGACTGCTGGTGTGACTTGCATGAAAATGCTGGTCAGGTGGTGCAGAAGCAACCCCCCGGGGAGAGGCAGACCTTTCATTTGACCTGGATTAAATATTGATGGGCTGCGATAATAGAGGATAGAGCACAAATGTCTATGTCACAGCACAGTGAGGGGGAGCTCAATCCTTTGTTAATGAATTTTAGGCGGGGGATTTATTTATGTATGTTTTTTCGGGCCCTGAGATGAGTCGTAAAACGTCTATTTAGAAATGAGATGTTAATCGATTTTGATGCATCTGTATTTTTTCACCCTTCCCACACTTCCATCATTAGTGAGGTTGTAAAACCATGTAGGCCACACTTGCACAGCTGCACTAAAAGTTAACCTTCAAATTTAATTAAAACCCTAGACAAGAAAAAAACGCTTCCCCCTTGACTGATGTGTGATTAGTTAGTAAAATCTCCAAGCAAATTGGTCATGTGAACCAGACAGCCACATTTATTCTGCATCCACGCTGCTTATGAAAAAGCTGTGGTACTGAATATGGCAGGATCACAACATCCAGACAAAAAGGATTCACGTGCATATATGAATAATCTACAAGGAAATTAGGATTTAAGGATTATGTAAATCTGTTGTTTTGGGTAGTATTGTTTGTCCCAGCTCTGTTTTGCGTTTTAGTGACATCATTGATTTACATGAGGGGGCAGTAATCACTCATTTAGCGAAACAGGATTGTAAGTGGGATGTTTTTCTCGTTACAAAAGTCCTACTTTTTCCTTAACAATAACCTAACATTAAATTACTGCAGTACTGGACAAGCAGAGTCATTTTGATCACAGCTAAACTGTTCAGTCTTCTTTTCTTGTATGAATTAGAGTTGGTGTGATGGGATTAAAAAAAGGTGTGGGCTTACACTGACATCTGGTGGAAGATGTTTGAGCTTGCAGCATATTTAACCTAAAAATATCCATATTTAATCCTTGTGTTTTGTTGAGTTTAGTATAGTTACAGTACAGTTAAAGAGTATAGACAACTTCTGGTTAAGATGTGTGATTTTTCAGGAGTAAGAAGGATACATTTTAAAGCAAATATAGTGGCCAAGACTATTTCCAGATCCTTTAAAATGTACTTCAATTTACAAGTAATCTTCTGTTGTTCCTGGAAAAAGGGGCAGCATATTTAAATGCTTTGTTACTACTGCAATACTGTATGTACACAGGTAAGGAGGAACAGGCACATATAAAAGTCAACCAATGGGAACATCTGCACACATACAGTGAAGACTACAGTGGTATACAAGATAATAAACCCTGTAATAAAATGCACACAACATCCAACATCTGGATGAAGGTAACAAAATGCAGAAGTATCCATAAAGCATTATTATTACACCAAACACTGGAATGTTTCCAATTTTATATGCTACGTTGGCTATGCATGAACTGAGAGCAGTATGTTTTAACACAACTTGTACTTATGTTTCACATAAATTAGACCTTTGAGTTAGACCAAAAATTCCAATATAAAATTTTACTTATTAGGGATTTGGGTGGGGCAGTATAAAATGTAATGCTGAGGTGTGGCCAAACAGAAGTAATGCGTCATTTTCTGTAACTTTTGAAACATTCTCTTAAAAGTAGGAAAAGTTTCACGGTGATAAAACAGCGTTCAGTAGATTTTTCTGGGCTGTTGAAGAGGGCACAGAGTCTCCAGGGACAATAGTCACACTGATTATTATTTCAAGAAGAAATAATAGCTGCAGAATTGTCTCATCCGCGTTGGAATCAGAATTTAAATGAATTCATGCGATGCGTGCTCATCACTGTAATATCTGTGCCTCTAACATTATTCACAAAGTGCGCTCTTTTATTTGGTTCACGTTAGGGGTCACACTGTTCTGCGATTTGAGCTGATGTAAAACTTTTAATAGCTAACCGCTGCCAACCTCTGGGGCCGACCTTCACAGGCTGTGATTGAACCGGCGCTGGGTGGGCGTGAGGCGCTCTGCTGGAGGTTACACAACAATGTGATGAGAGGGGAGTCTGTTGGGATCGTAATTGGAGGGTTTCCGTTGAACAGGTTTGATTAAAGATGTAAAGATGTCATGTAGATGTGGAACTCTCTGATTCCAAAGAGACAAACTGGACAGGTAATGAGTTGAAGCTTTATTATCTCCTCTTTCATGCACATACTCCTGCACAAGGACATTTTGCAGCATCTGTCCTTGCTCCCGTATGCTGCATCACCATACTTCCTGTTTTTTCTAATGTACAGTATATGCCGTTCTAATGACTCTTACTCTAACCTCAACACTGTAATGTAGCAAAATAAAGCAATATCTCACATTAAAGGATACATTTGCCTTCAAATACTCTTACTGAGATACATGTGATCAATTTCTAATAAATTAATGCTTTTTGTATTAAGATCAGGCAGTTGAGATTTGGCGTTTTTACTTCAATCTGATTCATCTCTATATAAGGTAACAAATCCCTTACCATAGTGCCTTCTGACAACCCTTAAATGTAAGGAGTGTAAAACAAGGACTCTACTGAAAATATAGAGGCAAAAGTCAGTGGAGCATTGTAAATGCACTGGAAATACACAAAAAAAGACAGCAAAACATCTTCACAATAGTCTATACAAAGTTGACAGCGCTCTAGGCAACTAATTAGATGCAAATTTGTATCTTTAATATGCCATAAGCTGTCTTGCAGGCTCAAAATAATGTTACCTCATTAATGTATTACACTGAGTCACTGATGTGGCAGTGAGATCATTTTTCAGTCAGAAACACACTATTGTACACCTCCCACTGCAAACAAGTCTCTTGCATTATTCCTGTGTTGATATATTCTACTGTCAATTTGGAAAAGGAACCAAGCTACTTCTCCCCAGCTGTCGCCTGTCCTTCATTACACCTTTAAAACCTTCACGTTGTGTAACACTGATTTCCTGTAAGAATCTGCTCCATTTGAACAGTTTTTTTCTGTTTACTCGAGCTGCAGGAGATCACTAATCTCTGACCGTTCCCCTCAGCTCTGTCTGAGTAGATAATTATTGTAATCACAAATAAACACTTGACACAGTTGTCAGGCCTCGCCTTGCAGTGACAGATTTTGTCTGTGAATCTCGTTGAGGACAACATCGCTGCTGGAGCCGTCGGATATTCCACTGTCCGCAAACACAGAGCCTGTGGGGGACCAACACAATCATTTAGTGCTATATAATGTAACACTGTCTAAAATACAGGTGAGGTGAGGTGCAAACTGCAACCTGTAAACATACCGCTACTACTTGTGCCATCACTGATCATAGAGGAGCTTCGAGAGGTCAAGGGGAGAGCTGAGGTGGTTCCTTTGCCAACTGACATATTCCTGGTGTTCTGGGTGGCTGTCCGACTCCATTCTGCAAAAAAGTGTTTTTTTTATTGAAAAATAAATAATATAGTCATTAATATTAGCATGAAAACACATTATGTTCCTGTTTTACGTCTGTTTGGTAGATAATCATGCTCCAAGGAGTAAAATTTGTGCCAAAAATTTGGCCAATCAGGCGCTAAGGGTTTTTAAAGGTGCAGTGTGTAACATTTAGGAGGGTACGTTTTCATTAGTATTACTATTGAGGTATTAAGAACACATTTAGGTTCCCACCTGAGTTTTCGGCCAATCGCAGTTTCCCGCAGCAAAGATAGGTTCTCCACTGCCTACGGACATTCTCCTTTACAGCACAGTGGAAAACAAATACAAGGAAACCTATACAGTACATAAATAGTAAGAAATTAGGTTTTGGGATACCTTTGTGTATTATGGTTTGGCTAATTTGAATAAACTCACATCAGTTTTATCATCATGTTTTCTACAATGTGGAATACAACCAAGTATATTTATACAAGGCTCACCTTGCAGACTGTTGAATATAGAGAAAAGGTAAACAAAGGGTAGGTAGAGAGGTCCCCAGGCGAACAGGGCGAACCCCCAGGTGAGGCCCAGGAGGATGATGAGGCCAGCGATGCTGCGCACATCCGTCATCACTCCCCTGTTAGGAGACTGGTTCTGGGGGTTCTGCTTCTTGATCCGGGCCAGTTGGACCATAACCATGATGAAGACCAGCAGGCACAGAGCAAAGATCAGGACGAAGTAGGCCACCACGCCCACATAGAAGGCGATGTCATTACGCAGCCAACAGCTACAGGGGGACAGAAAATAAATACACAATATTTAAAGGCAAAATTTTAAAAATGCATTCTTGCTGTATTCTAGGTGGTTGCTACACACCTACCAGGGTGTTGCAAGATACTTTTCTTAAAGTGTATGTTAGCAGGGTGTCACTTTTAATAGTAGTGGGAACAATGTTGTTTATCAGAATCAGAATCAGAAATACTTTAATAATCCCAGGGGGAAACTCCAAATCTACATGCAACATATTTACATACAACATATAATAATTATTAAGAACATATCTATATATAAATATATAAACATATCTATATACACAAGGTAAAGTGTAAAATGTTCAGTTTGAAAATGGTATGTTTATTCATTGCGTGTCAATGTGAAATTTCCAGGTGGTGGCCAAGAGGTTCCAGTATCTGATTTGCATTTGATTTGCATGTGATGTGTGTGTTTATGTGTGCTTTAAACTGAATGAAGCTTTTCATGCTTGAAAAGCTTGAAAATATTTGTTTGGATTGTCTCTCTCGCCCTCCAGTGGATGAATATGTCAACCACAAGTGTAATGACAATAAAAAGGTTTTGGTATATTTAAAAGAAAGACATTTCTTTTCACAGGTGTATTAAAACACTTGTAATGTGTGTAAATGTAGATTTAACTTACAAGTCATCTGAAGTGCCGTCTGTGTATTTTCCATATGTGACCAGGCCATAGTTGTCTTTGTCCACTGATATCACAACAATCACCACAACAAAAGGAATTCCTGCAAAGACCAGATGTTAAACAGCAGAACCATCTCAGTCTATCCAATAAAAATGGTTAGAGAAAAAATAGATGAAATCAGTGTATTTATTCATACATTTAATAGAAAAGGCATTGGTTGATGGAAACATAGTATATTGTATAACTTCTCAGTTAAACATTTGATTATTTTGGAGCTCAGTGTTACTCACCCCAGCCCATCAGCGAGAACTTGAGCATGTATCTGCTGAGGTAGGGAGTGAACACCTGGATGACGCTCAGGTACATGTGCAGGGCCTCAAGCCCCGCCCAAGTGAATGATGTCAGTAGGAAATAGTGCAGGAAGAAGGCAGTACTAATACACAGCCCGATCGCTGGGTAAAGCGCCAGCCAGCCATCCAGCAAGAAGACCAGGTTGAGGAGGAGGAGGGACATGCAGAGTTGAACCAGGATCTTGGCAGGAATGTCCCGAAGCAATTTTCTGCATAGAACAAGTTTGTCAGGATTATTATTATTAATTAGCCTGGTTATGAGGTTTCTTGGATGAAGCTCAGAAGTCTTGTCTTTGTAAAGACGTAGATTCTTACTCAAATGAAAGATATGTCAGTAAGGTGACAGAGAGAAAAACAGCAGAGATTCCACAGCCGATGTAGGTGATGAAAGTAAGAATTTGTGCCTGCTTGCGGTCAGTTATTTCTTCTCTGGACAAATCCTGTATTCATTATGGGGTACACACAAAAATATACAGTGAACACACATTGTACAACAGCAGGCTCCTGTTAGCGTTATCATTTGTCACTTTAACCACATTGAAAAACATTAATTTAACAGTCATAAAATGTCTGTTAAATGAATTTTAGTTCATTTAATTCCCTATGTACATATTGTGATTTGAATTTTATTGATACTATTATTGTCATATCCCAGACATACAAACAAACATGCACACAAACCAGCAGTATTGCAAAGGATGTGAGATGGTTGCAGCTGCAGGTTGTGTCTTCCGGTGTGGCACTGACAAGAAAGCAGCCAGAAGAGTTCCAGCCTCCTCCACCATCTAAACAAAGGAAACACAGCAAACAGGAATATTAATACCTGTGGCAATTTGGCTCTTAACCAACTCGATTTGGCGTGCATGCACTCACCATTTAGAGTGGAGTCCCAATATACACAGGAGGCTGAGTTGTTTGCCTGCGAACCAAGAAGCAATTAGAAGAAGGAAGGCATCACAGAGGAACTTTGTGTGATCTTTCAACACTGATTTTTAAACATTTATTTGAGTTTATCTGACGGTAATTTACATGTAACTCTTTATTTTGAAAGGTTCACTGAAAAAAATTCTGTTATACACAAGGACTGTGAAATTCCCATCTGTATAAAAAATAGCAGGCTACCAATAAACAATAATCAGAATGTGCTGTTTATCAGAACACTAAACTATGTTCCATTGACCTTGTCTGATCATTCAAATGTTGGTACTTGTGTGGTACTTTATGAATGATTCTTTTCTGTATGGGTTCATGAAAATTTAATGATTTTCATGCGTGTACAAACTTACATGTATGGGGTTGATGTTTTGGATGGTAAACTCAATGTTCTCAGACAGGTTGCTTATAGACAGATTGGCCACACTGGAGCCCAACACTGGACTGACAATGGTTTGGTTATTTAATGCTGCATCCTATTAAAAAAATTATGAAATCACTGAATTGAATTCATTCCATCATAGCAATTGCTCAGATTAGAAAAGTTTTAAATACTTCTTAAATCATTCAATTAACACTAAAAAGTACCTGGAATAGGGCAGATGTGTTGTAGAAGGTGAACTGGACCCTGTTGGCCTGGTGCTGCTTCTCAGGACTGAGACCAGAGGTGAGGGAGGAGGGCAAGAATACGGACCCTAGCGCAGACTTTGACCTCTTGTACTGGGATCTGCTGAGGGTATGGAGCTGGACACACACAAATGGTTAATGGAAAAGTTTGGCATTTCCTGTTTTAAGGTTGGGCAATGCATTTTTGTCACTTTATGTCACAGTATTGGCATTGGAAGAAACGAGGCCTCATGCAAGAACCTTTTCTGCGAGGTTCACTCAGTGTTCCACGTCAATTTCACCAAAATCTCTTAACTGCACAAACACACTTGCAGCCTGATGAATGCGATCTGTTCATGAGGGGGTGCGTGAGATTTGATCATTAGTTCACCCATGCAACCTAAAATTGCCACCTAAGGCTACCAGTTCCCCTACATTTTATGAATTTCCTTCGCAAAAAGTTGTGTAATGAAAAAAGTCCCGCTATTGGAAATCAGCAAACAGATTAGCAGTGTCAGTATAGTGGTATTACAGGACCCAAAACAATTATTATATTAATTAAGCTCTCAGCATACTGTCATCGGAGCAGTGCTGCACAACTATTGAACTGCATATGGTCTGTTCGCATAGGTGGTTCTTGCATGAAGCCAATTTGTTCTCATTTAGTACTTTATCAGAGCTACCTGGACATTATAAGGGCTGAAAATGTTAACAGATGTTGCTGGAAAGTTGTTCCCATCAACTGTCCTCACTGCCAGAACCAATGAATTAGAAGAGACGATCTCACTGTCACCAGTGACAACCAGCTTAAGACCCAACCCATCTATTGTCTGAATCAGCCTGTCAGCAGGACACAAGACAAAACATTTTAGAAACATCAAATGTATGTGAATACATGTTCCTATGTAGGTGAGGGTTTGTGAGTTGTACTTGTTAGCAGATGAAGAGAGGGCCAGTGAGTCAGCCTCCATCAGGTTGCTGATTATTTCAATAGTCTTTTTTCCCACTGCCTGAGAAACAGTGGGGCCATCCAGAAGCTTCTCTAACTGCCCCACCACGTGTTCCACCTGCAACATCCATCAAATTATAAAGTTTACTTTCAAAATGACATATCTATCATCCAAAACAAGTGACTCGAACTCCAGTTACACAGAGGCTGACACATAGTTAAATGGAAACAAATCACTTTACTGTTTTTCTCCTTGTACCTGAGTTACCAAAAAATCTTTTTTGGTAAAACAACACTTGCATTTAAAAAAATGTAGTTAATTATCAACATAAACTATATATTGACAAATTAAGATTTTCTTTGTTGCTGTTTATTGTTTATTTCCATTTGAGCCTGCCCATGGACAATAGTGACTAATAGACTAATAGACTAACAGTGTATATTTCAACAGATCACCTGAGAGGAGTTGAGCTGGGACGCATCCTGTGTTTTATTCAGCAGCTCATCGGCTTGTTTTTTCTGTGCCTCTTGGCTTTTAGTTGTCTCTGCAGGGTTTGTGGAGGAAGTTCCAGTGCCTTGGTAAAGAGTAAGTGGAAAAATAAAACAATCCAGCAAAGGATAATGTCTACTAGTCAAGGCTTTTATCAAGAAGTCCTTCTATTAGATCACCTGTTGGATTTGCTACACAGAAAAGCATTCTATTTGTGCAGGTTAAGGAACTATACCAGTAATAAATATATTGTCATGATGCATTTATTACTCACAGTTTAACTTTTTAAGCAATTTAAACTACAAAAAGAAAGATTCCAGCCAATTAGACCAACCATTTGGTTTATTGTAGTTTGGAGTTTATTAGCAGCAGTTTATCGACTAAAATGTATATGTTGACATATACATACCAGGTTTTGTTGTGGTTGTGCTGGCAAGAATGGTGGTTTGGAGAGTTGTTGTAGAAGAAGTCAAGGAAACCTTTTCAGTAGTCAAGTTAATCTGGCCTGAAAGTGGACCATGTATGGTTGATGTAGCTGTGGTGGTTGGAGTTGTAGCTATATGTGCAAGGGACACTTTAGCTGGAGTAGTTGTTAAATGTACTCCTGGTCCTTTGGTTGTTCTGTTGAAGTCAGCGGTTGAACTGATTGTAGTTGAGCTCAGGTTGAGGTTGATTCCTACAGTTTCATTATGATTAATAATGGGACTAATGCCAGTGGCAGCTGTGGTGGAGTTGGTGGTTGTTGTGATCTTCTGAGTCACTCTCACTGTAGTGTGATTTCCAGTCTGATTGTTAGGTGGAGCTACTGTTGGTTTACTGGTGTTATGGACAACAGGTGTCATATTGTCCATGGTTAAGTTTTTTGTGGATGCAGTTGACATTGTCATGTTTTCATAAGGAGCAGTTGTGATCTGTGACGTTTCCCTGATGGATGAAGTGGTTACATTGTCTGTGGCTGTTTTATTTGAAGATACAGTCGTAGTGGTTATATTAATGGCTGTTGTGTAATTTTTGGAAAGTGTAGTGACATTGTACACTATTGTGTAATTGGGAGAAGGTGTAAATTTACTCATTGTTGCGTTAACTGTTGTAATTGTACCATTGTGTACAATTGCTTTGGCTGTTAGATTGTACTTTGTTGCGTCATTGGGAGAAGGTGTGACTGTAGTTAAATTGTAATCTGTTGTATAAGTGTTGGTGGCTGTTGTGTAATTCTTGGTGGTTGTACTTTCATTGTTCACCGTTGTGTAATTGGGAGATGGTGTAAATTTACTCATTGTTGCGTTAACTGTTGTAATTGTACCATTGTGTACAATTGCTTCGGCTGTTGTTAGATTGTACTTTGTTGTGTCATTAGGAGAAGGTGTGACTGTAGTCAAATTGTAATCTGTTGTGTAATTGTCGGTGGCTGTAGTTGCACTGTATACTAATGTGTGATTTGGAGAAGTTGTAATTGTGCTCATTGTTGCATTACTTGTTGTAATTGTACCATTCTGTACAATTGCTTTAACTGTTGTTAGATTGTACTTTGTTGTGTCATTGGGAGAAGGTGTGACTGTAGATAAATTGTAATCTGTTGTGTAATTGTCGGCGGCTGTAGTTGCACTGTATACTAATGTGTGATTTGGAGAAGTTGTAATTGTGCTCATTGTTGCATTACTTGTTGTAATTGTACCATTCTGTACAATTGCTTTAACTGTTGTTAGATTGTACTTTGTTGTGTCGTTGGGAGAAGGTGTGACTGTAGTTAAATTGTAATCTGTTGTGTAATTGTTGGTTGCTGTAGTTGCATTGTACACTACTGTGTGATTTGGAGAAGTTGTAATTGTGCTCATTGTTGCATTACTTGTTGTAATTGTACCATTGTGTACAATGGCTTTGGCTGTTGTTAGATTGTACTTTGTTGTGTCATTGGGAGAAGGTGTGACTGTAGTTGAATTGTAATCTGTTGTGTAAGTGTTGGTGGCTGTTGTGTAATTCTTGGTGGTTGTACTTGCATTGTTCACAGTTGTGTAATTGGGAGAAGGTGTAAATTTACTCATTGTTGCGTTAACTGTTGTAATTGTACCATTGTGTACAATTGCTTCGGCTGTTGTTAGATTGTACTCTGTTGTGTCATTGGGAGAAGGTGTGACTGCAGTCAAATTGTAATCTATTGTGTAATTGTCGGTGGCTGTAGTTGCATTGTACACTACTGTGTGATTTGAAGAAGTTGTAATTGTGCTCATTGTTGCATTACTTGTTGTAATTGTACCATTGTGTACAATGGCTTTGGCTGTTGTTAGATTGTACTTTGTTGTGTCATTGGGAGAAGGTGTGACTGTAGTTAAATTGTAATCTGTTGTGTAATTGTCGGTGGCTGTAGTTGCATTGTACACTACTGTGTGATTTGAAGAAGTTGTAATTGTGCTCATTGTTGCATTACTTGTTGTAATTGTACCATTGTGTACAATGGCTTTGGCTGTTGTTAGATTGTACTTTGTTGTGTCATTGGGAGAAGGTGTGACTGTAGTTAAATTGTAATCTGTTGTGTAATTGTTGGTTGCTGTAGTTGCATTGTACACTACTGTGTGATTTGGAGAAGTTGTAATTGTGCTCATTGTTGCATTACTTGTAATTGTACCATTGTGTACAATTGCTTCGGCTGTTGTTAGATTGTACTTTGTTGTGTCATTGGGAGAAGGTGTGACTGTAGTCAAATTGTAATCTGTTGTGTAATTGTCGGTGGCTGTAGTTGCACTGTATACTAATGTGTGATTTGGAGAAGTTGTAATTGTGCTCATTGTTGCATTACTTGTTGTAATTATACCATTGTGTACAATTGCTTTGGCTGTTGTTAGATTGTACTTTGTTGTGTCATTGGGAGAGGGTGTGACTGTAGTTAAATTGTATTCTGTGGTGTAATGGTCGGTGGCTGTAGTTGCATTGTACACTACAGTGTGATTTGGAGAAGTTATAATTGTGCTCATTGATTTATTACTTGTTGCAGTTGTGCCATTGTGTAAGTCCCAGTTGTTGTCCACTGTAGTAACAATGTTTTCTGTTGTGTCATAGGGAGAAGGTGTGACTGCAGTTAAACTGTTTTCTGTTGTGTAATTGTTAGAGGCTGTAGTTAGGTTGTACACTACTGTGTGATTGGGAGAAGTTGTAAATGTGCTAATGGTTGGATTACTTGTTGCAATTGTATCATTGTGTTGGTTCCGGTTGTCGTCTGCTGTAGTTAAACTGTACTCTGCTGTGTGATTGGGAGACTGTGTAACTGTATTCACACTGTGCTCTGCTGTGTGATTGGGAGAAGTCGTCAATGTGCTAATGGTTGGGTTACTTGTTGCAATTGTATCATTGTGTAGGTTCCTGTTGTTTTCTTCTATAGTTACGTTATACTCTGTTGTGTAATTGTTAGAGGCTGTTGTGTAGTTTGTGGTGACTGTAGTTACATTGTGTTCTGTTTTGTGATTGGGAGAAGGTGTAACTGTATGTTTGGGGGAAGTGGTAAATGTGCTAATGGTTGGGTTACTTGTTGCAATTGTATCATTGTGTAGGTTCCTGTTGTCGTCTGCTGTAGTTAAACTGTACTCTACTGTGTGAATGGGAGTGCTACTGGTTGGGTTACTTGTTGCAATTGTATCATTATGTATGTTCCAATTGTTGCTTGCTGTAGTTATAGTATACTCTGTTGTGTAATTTGCGGTGACTGTAGTTGCAGTGTGCTCTGCTGTGTGTTTGGGGGAAGTTGTAAATGTGCTAATGGTTGGGTTAATTGTTGCACTTGTATCATTGTGAAGGTTCAGGTTGTCATTTGCTGTAGTTAAACTGTACTCTGCTGTGGGGTTGGGATTGCTAATGGTTGGGTTACTTTTTGCAATTGTACCATTGTGTATGTTCCTGTTGTCGTCTGCTGTAGTTATACTGTACTCGGTTGTGTAATTTGTGGTGACTGTAGTTGCAGTGTGCTCTGCTGTGTGTTTGGGGGAAGTTGTAAATGTGCTAATGATTGGGTTAGTTGTTGCAATTGTATCATTGTGTAGGTTCCGGTTGTCGTCTGCTGTAGTTACGTTGTACTTTTTTGTGTAATTGTTAGAGGCTGTTGTGTAGTTTGTGGTGACTGTAGTTACATTGTGCTCAGTTGTGTGATTGGGAGACGGAGTAACTGTGTGTTTGGGAGAAGTCGTAAATGTGCTAATGGTTGGGTTACTTGTTGCAATTGTATCATTGTGTATGTTCTTGTTGTCGTCTGCTGTAGTTATACTGTACTCGGTTGTGTAATTTCTGGTGACTGTAGTTGCAGTGTGCTCTGCTGTGTGTTTGGGGGAAGTTGTAAATGTGCTAATGGTTGGGTTAGTTGTTGCAATTGTATCATTGTGAAGGTTCAGGTTGTCATTTGCTGTAGTTAAACTGTACTCTGCTGTGGGATTGGGATTGCTAATGGTTGGGTCACTTGTTGCAATTGTATCATTGTGTAGGTTACTGTTGTTTCCTGATATAGTTACGTTATACTCTGTTGTGTAATTGTTAGAGGCTGTTGTGTATTTTGTGGTGACTGTAGTTACATTGTGTTCTGTTTTGTGATTGGGAGAAGGTGTAACTGTATGTTTGGAAGAAGTTGTAAATGTGCTAATGGTTGGGTTACTTGTTGCAATTGTATCATTGTGTAGGTTCCTGTTGTCGTCTGCTGTAGTTAAACTGTACTCTGCTGTGTGAATGGGAGTGCTACTGGTTGGGTTACTTGTTGCAATTGTATCATTATGTATGTTCCAATTGTTGCTTGCTGTAGTTATAGTATACTCTGTTGTGTAATTGTTAGAGGCTGTTGTGTAGTTTGTGGTGACTGTAGTTACATTGTGTTCTGTTTTGTGATTGGGAGAAGGTGTAACTGTATGTTTGGGAGAAGTCGTAAATGTGCTAATGGTTGGGTTACTTGTTGCAATTGTATCATTGTGTAGGTTCCTGTTGTCGTCTGCTGTAGTTAAACTGTACTCTGCTGTGTGATTGGGAGTGCTACTGGTTGGGTTACTTTTTGCAATTGTATCATTGTGTATGTTCCCATTGTCATCTGCTGTAGTTATACTGTACTCTGTTGTGTAATTTGTGGTGACTGTAGTTACATTGTGCTCGGTTGTGTGATTGGGGGAAGTTGTAAATGTGCTAATGGTTGGGTTAGTTGTTGCAATTGTGTCATTGTGAAGGTTCAGGTTGTCATTTGCTGTAGTTAAACTGTACTCTGCTGTGGGATTGGGATTGCTAATGGTTGGGTTACTTTTTGCAATTGTATCATTGTGTATGTTCCTGTTGTCGTCTGCTGTAGTCATACTGTACTCTGTTGTGTAATTTGTGGTGACTGTAGTTACATTGTGCTCGGTTGTGTGATTGGGAGACAGAGTAACTGTGTGTTTGGGAGAAGTTGTAAATGTGCTAATGGTTGGGTTACTTGTTGCAATTGTATCATTGTGTATGTTCCTGTTGTCGTCTGCTGTAGTTATACTGTACTCGGTTGTGTAATTTGTGGTGACTGTAGTTGCAGTGTGCTCTGCTGTGTGTTTGGGGGAAGTTGTAAATGTTCTAATGGTTGGGTTAGTTGTTGCAATTGTATCATTGTGAAGATTCAGGTTGTCATTTGCTGTAGTTAAACTGTACTCTGCTGTGGGATTGGGATTGCTTATGGTTGGGTTACTTGTTGCAATTGTATCATTGTGTAGGTTCCAGTTGTTGTCTGCTGTAGTTACGTTGTACTTTTTTGTGTAATTGTTAGAGGCTGTTGTGTAATTTGTGGGGACTGTAGTTACATTGTGCTCTGTTGTGTAAATTGTGGTGACTGTAGTTGCAGTGTGCTCTGCTGTGTGTTTGGGGGAAGTTGTAAATGTGCTAATGGTTGGGTTACTTGTTGCAATTGTATCATTGTGTAGGTTCCGGTTGTCGTCTGCTGTAGTTAAACTGTACTCTGTTGTGTGATTGGGAGACGGTGTAACTGTATTCACACTGTGCTCTGTGGTGTGATTAGGAGACAGTGTAATTGTGTTAAGTGTTGAATCAGTAAGAGCAGCTGGAGTGCTTTGTAATGTTGAGTTGACAGAGGATAATGTTATAACTTCTGGTGTGTTTTGGTGTGCTGTGGTTGTGTTTTGCAGTTTTGTACCTTCAGTGGGCATCAATGATGTTGTGTTCTGTATTGTTATGCTGCTAGAGAAAGTCACAGTCTTATTTTGTAAGCTGGTTTGGAGGACAGGTTGTGCTGTTGAGGACTGTGTACTGTTAAGTGTAGTGAGTGGAGTGATCGTGTTAGGCTGCGTTGAGCTCTGCTGGGTTGTGGGAGGGCAGCTGTCAGTCAGAAGTACAGCAAGCGTCTCATGTGCCTCACTAAAAAAGAACACACAACCAAATATTGTATAACTCTAAAAATAAATGACAGCAAAACATGTTATATAAATAGTTGTTGAACCATCCAATGGTAGTTCCGTGCATACTAGCAGCTTTTTTTGACTATAAAGATCATCAGAAACATCCCTGGTTGCGGAAATTCAGACTGTTCCCCAACAAACACAAAGAGGCTCCAGCATCTTCTCTAAATATAGCTCTGGACAAACAACATTCATGACTTTAACCAACAAAAAACATTACATTTAAATGTTTTTAGTTACCATTTAAGCAGAGTGGGGTCAGGTTGGCACACATCAGAGGTCAGCAGATCACTGCCAACCCAGGTCAGATTAGATGTTAACAGTCTGTGGACAGGCAGACCAGGATGACCACAAACCACTGAGGACACACAGAGTACTGTCAATACTACAGTTACACAATAACTAATTATATAAGATACAAGTTTCATAATAGGAAAAACAATAAGCTGCAGACTAACCCATGCGCGTAAGTGGCTTTTCGTTTCTTATGCCAATGTTGTTGTCAATAAGTTGCTGCAGAAGTTTACTTAGGTAGCAATTACTGACAGGTCCAGACATCTCCAGTATCACCATGCAGCTGTACAACCTAGAGACCAGCAGCAAAGAAGTAAAAAACAACCCATGCTCAGATACTGGTGTTTATCATCAAATGCATTACCATTCCTGAAGTTATTGAAATGTTAGGATTTTCCTCAACAGTGTGCCAAATGTCTGTCATATGTGACCTTCTACCTCCTCTTTTCTAAGGGGCCCAGGAATTGAAGGGAAAGACAGTAATATCTGTTTCAGCATAGTTTCTTTGCAGATATACTCAGGTGCACTTAATAGACAACGCAAAGAAACTACCTCTGTTGTGTCCCATGGCATTCCAGATGAGAACCCTGGATAAAGAAAATTATAAATAATATATGAAGCATGATTAACATCTCTAGATCAATGTGATTTTAAAGGTTTGGAGTTTGTACCAGACCAGTTTCCTGCTGTAAGATTTACCTGGTAGTACTTTGCAATATCTGGGCACGATGACCTGGAAACAACAAATTGTCCACATGAGTGAATTATGACCACTAAACCCCTCTGATATTGAGTATTTAGGTAAACTGTTCCAGTAAATTCATTGTTGAGCCCAGTTGAGTAAACGTTCAACTGGGTTACTGTGATACTTTTTCTACTCACATTGCAGCTTAAACACAGAGACTGGCAATTAAAAACAGTACTACAGTATTAACAAGCTGATTATAAACTTTTACATGGTCTACATGTATGAACTGTAAGTGAGACTTACCCAGACATACACAGCTTGGCTACACTTAGTCTTGACAACTGTCAAATAAGTTTAGAAAGTCAGTACATAGGATGTATACAACAGGAAATATAGTTCCTTCATAATGTGATGCACATACCATTGATCTTAGGAGGTTGACATTAACAGAAGCACTGTTTATATTGATTCTTATGGCAAAAAACTGGCCTGAAGAGAAAAAAGAGCAAAGTAAAAGTTGCCAGGGGCTGTTTAGGACATCATTTTAACAGCTACCTTCTGAGATGTATGTTTGCGTTAAAGGAATAGCTCAATATTTTGTGAACATTATTATGCTTTCTTGCAGAGAGTTAGATAAGATCGGTACCACTCTTATGAGTTTTGTATCGATCTTATCATCTAACTCTCGGAGAGAAAGCCAGAATGTCAAACTATTCATTAAAAGTGTGTATAACGTCCCATTCAGTACTTGACTTGTGTGTGGAGGGGTAAATGAGCACATTTATATACACAAATAATTTTTGCTTGCTGTTGCAGTGCAAACGTATGCAGACAGGCAGGACGGCAATATTTTCTTACTTGAAGAATTACAGAAAGCAGTGCAGTCACAAAAGCGAGGCGCTTCCCCTGAGGCACAGACAAACATGGTTACAGCAGCGGAAGCAACAGTGAATTCTGGTGAATATAATAATGGGTCTCTGTTTTTGATGCTCACCGCTGCAGGACTCTGTATTCTGCTGTGGAACTGGGTTGGAATTTGGTCCTATAAGGGAGCTAATGGATAAACACTGATAAGATACAGAGTGCGCACAGAGCGTACACATATGTGCTCAGTGTATACAGAAAAACAAAAGTATTGCTCACCATGTAAGCTCTGAGTGCTTCATTCCCTGACGACAGATATTATCCAGGGAAGATGTGGATGTACACCTCACAAAGCTGCCATCGGAGGGCACCACACCCTCACAAAGATCTTGACCTTATGTGAACAAAATCAACATGAGTAAGCTAATTATACTTTGTTTGTGCTTTTTTGGGTTTAAGATCTTGAGAGTGAGGATGTTTCTGGAAAGTGAGGATATTCTGGCCTGTTTTCAAGGGCCATGTGAGGGTTGAGATGCGGATTTGGTGAAGAAATACTAACTGTTTCCTTCTTTTTTAGGCATTAACAATGAGAGGATCTTTGAAAGTTACGGTTGCACACCCACAAATTTCAACTTGATGAATGTTTGTGTGTCAACCAACAATGCGTGAGTATTCCTGTTGATGTTTTGCATGTATACACAGGTACGTCTGTATTTGTATGTGTGCTCCCGTAATCCAAACATGGGTGCATTTTGCATGTTTCCAAAATACTGTATGTAGTTTGCACGTGTAACTGTGTGTCCTAAACACAAAGTTCATTATCCAAATAAAGTACTAAAGTAGACATGTATAACATGGTGTCGCCTCAAATTGACAGCATTTTATTCACAAACTAACACTAAACAAATTTTTATAAAATATTTTCCTGATGCAGTTCCTTACATCACTAAGGGTGATAAATGCAGGCTGATTAGTGGAGAAACACACAAAATATAAAAAATGTTCTAAATGTAAAACTCTTTAATTGTGGATATACATGTAATGTATAGGCTTAAAAAATGGCTAATTGGGTCTTAAGTAGTGTGTTTTTGTGTTTGTGTGGAGATCATGAGGTAGGCACATGCTCACCGACTCTCTCCACCTCTCCTATGATTCTCGCTTGTATTTGTTCATCTCCAGCTTGCTGCAGTGCAGAGACTCCAGCATGCTGCAGTTCACACGCTGAGATGGCGTGGCTGAGCTCCAACACCACATCACAGGTTGTTTTGCTGGAAACAAAAGTATTCCCACCACTGTGAGGAGGTGCAATCTGATGTAGAAGTTACACAAAATACCTACTGACATGCTGTTACCTTATGTTACTTTTTGTCTTGCAGTTCACCCGTTTTACCTGCAAAGAGAGACATAAGTTGCAGTCATTTTCCTGCATTGTAGGAGAGATTTTATTCTGAAAAGTGAAAGGGTGTTGCCTGTTTCTGGGACAGACTGACCTGAGGTTGTGTGTTACCCTTACAGAAATTTTGTGCAGCCTTCCTGTCACCTTGGCAACCAAACGCATCTGACACCTGAGTGACAGATGGAGAGACAGAGGCAGACAGATTCTGATACTGTGTGGGAGGTGATAGGAGCTAAACACATAAAGTTTAAGTATTAGAAAAGTGACAGATGTTTTGTTGGGTTTGCTCTTTGCTCCATCACTTTGGAAATGACACAATGTCTGAAAGCCTGACTTTCAGCTTTAACAGATTGACTTTGCAGAAAATGCCCTTTTTATGTACAGATCCCCAACCAGAATGTTTTAGGGTTTATATGTTAACGATATGATGATATTATGATATCTTACATTCTTCCGATTGGCTTAGGTTTTTGTTCATATAAAGAAGAGACAGCTGAAGGGGAAATTGGTGTTGTCTGTGTTTTGATTTTAGCTATTAATTCTCCTTTCATTGCACTGCTTTGAAGACACCAACAGTTGGAAATCTTAAAATTCTACATATACAGTAATACCTTTGTCATGTTGTATTGAATAGTTGGTTGCAAATCCTTTGCAATCAGAGACTTGGTATCTTTCCTGATGACGCCTAGAGGTTTTCAATACATGGACAAATCGAACTTTATGACCAAATCCTGAACTAAGCATGAATTATCTATAGTAGCTATTTTGCATTGGAACTCTTCTCCCTGGTAAATGAAAGTCATTGTCAGCTCAGTTATGGTACATAATTTTACTTCCTGGTTAAAAGCTCACTACTATACAGTATAACCTGTATTAACTTTAAAAACAGTGGTTATATAAGGCTAGATTTGTACTGACCAGTAACATACCGAACTTAGAATCCAAGACTGAACATTGCTCTTCTCAACAAAAAACCCTTTGGGATCCAAGGAAGCAAACAAAGATACTGAATATGAGATATACAACCATCGGCTGACAAAAATAAACCCAAGTGACCTCTTGCGTCTAATAGACAAGCATTGCAGAGTTATCTCCTGGTTTAAAACGCTGCCATTGCTGGTTGATGTAAAACACATCAATACTGGTGCTGCAGTGTAGGAAAAGTTGCCACAGACTCGGCACAGGCTTCAATGTAACAGACGTTCATTTATATGTATAAGTCCAATATGTTAAGTATGGTGATCCCACGCTCCAGCTTCAAAGCGTCATTCTGCTTCTGCAGTAGGCCAGAATGGACAAACCAAACCCTGTCTCTAGATAGGGCCATTTGTGTTTTTTTTGCATGTGGTTTCCATAGTTTCTCTTTTGCACTTGAGGGGGTGGGTAAAATGATGGAATAACTACACCGCTTTATGCCACTAAATCCTCCAAACTGGTCCTTTAGTGCCATTACTTGAGTAAATATACTTAGTTACATTCCTCCACTGAGAATCATAGCCCTTTTTCTACACAGTGCCCCAATTTTTAAGATAACGCAGAAATGTGGCTGTTTGACATGGCGGTCTCCATAAGGTGACCCACAGCGTCTATAGATACAAAAAGGCTCATTCTAAGGTCATTTATTTTGAGGTGATTATACACTGATGAAGGTTATGCAAATTATATTGCATTTCCAATAGATCCTTATTATATGATACACACTGGACCTTTAAATATGAGGTAGTTGTACTTTACTTTACTTGAGTATTCATGACACTTTCTGCTTCCACAGCAATTCAATTATTACAATTATTCCACTACTATTTGACAGATTTAATTACTAGTTACTTTACATAACTAACAATTGTTATATCAATAATATTGAGTGGAAATGTAGTACTTTTACTCAGTACAATTACCTGATTATACTTTTACTGAAGTAACAATTCATTCGATATTTGCTTATATATTTACTTGCAATGCATTTTACACAGCATGGTTTTGGTACTTTTACTTAAGTAAAGGATCTGAATACGTTCTCCACCACTGATGATTGATATATAAGAAGCTCTAATGCTTATCTAAACACCTTCAAACTCCTTTAAAAATGAAAGTCAGCAGTTACAACCTCAAATCCATTTGTTTGAAACATCTTGAGTAAACTGAACATGCCCATAAATATACTGTGAGCAGGGACATGATTCACAGTTTTAATACTGGAGACGTAAAAGGGGGATAGATTGTAAAAGGTCAATGAGGGAACACTGTTGACACGTATACCAGGTTTCTTAAGTTCACAGGGTTAGCCCAATCAAAATTAATTTCAGGTGCCTCACAGGGTTGGAATGTACTGCTCCTTCAGACTAATCCTGTGCCAGCAAGACTATTAGAAGTATGACACTTACAGTAAAGCTAAGAGAGAAAACCTACACATTTCATTCTCACCAGTTTTTTGACATCTCCTTCATCCTTATTGCCCCCATTAGCCTCAACACTTATGGACATCCAAAAATAAGCATCTGCAAGAAAAATGAAGGTTAAATATATATTTATATAAATATACCTAAATGAAACAGTGATTGACAAAAGGTGAATATGTCTTACCTTTATTGGAACAGAGTTGTTTTATGTAACAATTGACTAATTGGGACCCTAAAATAGAATAGAATAGAATAGACCTTCTTTAAAATAAAAACATCAAGAACAGGTTAGGCATTGTTTCTTATTTACATCGGTAACACAATGCAATACAGTGTCTCTAATTATACTCCCACAACCCACACAAATATTTACCTAATGTGTGGGTGTCAGTTTAACTGAATGTTGTGATGCCTATGGAAGTGTGCTTTCTGGTTCGACTTTGTCAATTTTTCCTGTGCAATGAGGGATTTTATTCTGACATTTTGTTGGCCCTTTATTACTTTTATTACAGTAGACAGGAATGATGAATACATTTAAAAGATTGAAATTATCCTTAAACTTTGTTTATTTTTATTATTAATTTAGTGTTATCCTATTGAAAACATAAAGATTCAGTTGTGACCAAAATTATTAGCCCCCCTTATGAAATTCGATATAAACTCTTGATTTCGCCATGGAAATGGCCATTAACAACACGTGTTTGTTATTTTGGAAACAAATACACTAAAAAGACAAAAGTTGACAAGTTTGATTAGGATATTTTATTGATACAATGAGTAAAAACAAAAAAGGGCAAAAATGAGAAATTCAAAATTATTAGCCCCTTGGCCATTAATAGTCAATAGTGTACCCTTTCTGAGCCACAACTGACAACAACCTCTTAGAGTAGTTCTTTACTAGGTTGGCACAGGTCTCCTGAGGGATTTTGGCCCATCCTTTCATTGCAAATTGTTCCAGCTGGTCCAAATGCGTGGTTTCCGAGCATGGACATTCACTTTGAGCACCCGCCACAGATTCTCAATAGGATTGAGGTCTGGGCTCTGTGCGGGCCACTCCAGGACCTTGGTTTTGGTATCCTTCAGGAACTGTTGGACCAATTTCAATGTGTGCTTTGGGTCATTGTCTTGTTGGAAGACCCAGCGATGACCTAAGGATAGACTACGAGCAGATTTCTGCATATTATCCCTCAAAATGTCAACATAATTTTCTTTTTTCATGATGCCATGCACCCAAACAAGGCTGCAAAACAGCCCCACAGCATGATGCTCCCACCACCATGTTTAACTGTGGGAACTGTGTTCTTAGGGTTCAAGGCCTTTCTTCACCAAACATAAGCAAGATCCAATTCCAGTTTAGTCTCATCAGACCAAAGCACAGACTTCCAAAACTCATCTTTACCTTTCAAGTGTTCATGGGCAAACCTCAGTCTGGCATGTGCCGCTCTTTGAGTAAAGGGGTTCTTCTTGGACGATAGCCCTGAAGCTTACCACGATGGAGAGCCCTCACAACTGTGCTCCTTGAAACATCAACCCCAGAAGAGGCCAGGTCAGCAACAGTCATCTTGGCAGATGTCCGGGGATTCTTGCTGACATCTCTGACAATTTTCCTCTCTAGAGTTCTTGAAATCTTGAGTTTACGACCATGCCCAGGTTTGTTTCTTACAGAATTTGTCTCCTTGTACTTGGCAATGATGCAACGTACAGCGGTTCTAGACATGGTGAAACGCTTGGAAATAGCAGTATAGCCATATCATGATCCTCCACTATCTTCTAAAGTAGTCCCTCTCAATAATGTGTTCAAGTGCCCTGTTCCTTGGAGTCCTTTTATGCTGATTGAATGTTCAGGTGTCGTTAGGAAGCCAATTGACTGCACAGGTGTGGTTTGAAAACTGATTAGTTAATTAGGTGTGTTTTTGAAGGCAAGAATTCGCATGGGGGGAAATATTATTGACCACCCCATCATGGGGGCTAATATTTTTGACATCCCCATTTTTCTCTATATTTGATATAAAGCAAGCCTAAAATGTTATTTTATATTCCAAAATGTACAACAAAAGAAACGTAGAAACTTGTCCAGCGTATTACAAGATGACATTATTAATTATGTGACACAATTACAAAATTTCAAAACTATATCAATAGTATTTGATATGTACTTTGTAGGCTATGAAATAATTTTATTTACTTTATGCAGAGTAATGTCTGCAGTCTGACTTCATAGTGTTTATTATTACTGTATTTGTCAGTAAGTAAGAAGCAAATCACCTTAAGTAAAGTACACTCAAAGCAGGCAGCATACATACTATATACAATACATTTTTGAGTATATTGTGAATGTACGCTGTTCTCTCACAATGCAATGCAAAAAAGGAAATGGGATTGATTCAAATAAATTGATAATTAATAATGACATCGTAAGGACTTGGGAATTTCAGCATCACTCACCTGGGATCTGGTCGCTTGTTTGATTGACAGTAAATGCTCTTTTTGCTGGTAAAAGAAAGAAAGAAGAAGGATGTCAAGTAACAATGAGGAGGAATTACTATAGTTGAGATAATAAGACAATACAGTTTTATTTCACTGGTTATTATTGTCTGAAAGTGAAGCTTACCAATTGGCCATTCGGGAGTTGGATTTGCTGAAACAGTACATGCAAATTAGAAGTGTGGTGTACTTTCAAATCTATCTTTTTTCTGTTTTACATTTACTTTTTGTACATTTGTGCAATTATATTAATAGCTTTATGGTAAACTAAACTCTTAACTTTTAATTCTGGCTACGACTTTCTTGAAAAGCATATATAGATATCAAGAAGCCCTATTGGTTAAATACAGGTCAAATAAAATACCAAATAAACATTTCAATGGTGGGTTGTTTTATTTATGATCTATCATCTATTTTAAAATCTCCTTGTGTTTTTACAGTCTTCAATGGACAAATTATTCTATTCCCTTCCATCTGTCCCGTCCTCTGTCCTCTCTAATGCACACACACATGCAGGCATTTACAAATACACATATACATTCAAACAACAACAATCAACATGCATGTACTGTAAGTGTGTAAGTCACATGGGTACACACCCCTGTTGTTGTGGCTATGATGTACCTTGCGTCTGAACCGTCTGTGGTCTACAAGACACATGAAGACATGCAGCATTCAACATCCAACATGCTCTAAGAACATGCACAACTACTGTGTTAGAGATGAAGACAGCACTGAAGTACCATTTAATCAGTGGAATGTTCTGCATGCACTATCACTGCTTCAAACCCAAGAGAAATTTCATGTCAAATTATGCCAGTATTTTAGTTTCTCTGCAGCTTTCGGGAGCTATAAAAAATGGCTCTGATGAGTATTATTTAAAAAGACACATTTCATTTTTAAATAGTCTGTTACAACTGTGATAGAATAGGCCATAAAGACAACTGTAATAATAAAGGATAAGATGCATGCTCAAGGACTTCTATATGACTATTTGCAAACATGCAATGTTACATTTTAGCTTTTACATTCATGAATCATGAATTCTGTTTGCATTCTGTGAAAAATGCAATTAATAATTAGTTAAGAAAGTCATACATGCAAAATATCCCAGGATGAACAAAAGAAAACATATACAATCAGGATCCATGAGCTAAAGACAAGCTTATGCATGTCTGTCTCACCACACAGAAGGTTGTGGTCTCTCTGTCTGGCCCTGGGACTGGTCAGGCCCCAGTACTGAGCATTCCAGCCAATCACAGTGCCGTCCTCGCAGAAGCCATGGTCAGCCAGGTCCGGCCACATGCGGAACAGGTACAGCTCCACTGCTCCGAGCGTGGCTCCCGGGGGTCGGTCTCTGGGACGACAGCCCAGCCACAGGGAGCCGGAGGGGGGGATGGCGTGAGCGATGACCGTCCTCTCTGCCACCATTATCCCATTAACCTAAAACATTTAAACATTAAACAGGTAAAGAGGGTGTAGATTAAGTAAAAGTTTGACGCCTAAATTATTACCTGCCATATTACAATAAAATAATTTAACTGAACCGCTCCTTTACAACCTGTCTGATTGTTTGTGTTTCTCGCCCTCTCAGGGTTTACAGTGTTTTTGATGGCCAAAACTACAAAAAATAAGGCAAAACTTGTAATAAACGTACGGTAGTTCTTGTGATTAGCTTTGCTAGTTTAATGCTCAAAATGTCAAGGTAATACATTTGATAATTTTAGGTAAGTAAATCATATGCAAACTCCTGGGAAACAAAAGGGGTAGCTGTAAACATTTGCATTAGCATTCACTGACTTGCTCAGAACAGTGAGAGAGGAAGATATTTTATCAGAGCAGTACAGTATCTATTTTCATGTCTATTCTGCTTAATTACACACACTTACACAATGTGTGCTATTTTTTGCAAGATAAACTTAATTGTATAAACCAATTTGTTTTGTGTAGACCTCATTGCATGTGAGGTGGAAAGTAAGAGCATTTACACAATGTGCAAATGTGTAAACACGTGATGAGTTTATAAAATATGATAGATGGCAACAGAGTAAACTAACAGCATAAAACTTGACCAACTACATCAGTAAAATGCTACCTACACATTACTCCATCTGTAACAACAATAATCCACTATCCTGTCTAATTATTCTCCCCATACTCAACCTTGCTAAACAACAAGGCCATAGCACACATTGCAACCTCAATAGCACAGGACAGCACACACCCATTCATATTGCCTTCCCGGCGCAGGTAGGTACAGAAGGGCTCACTAGGGAAAAGCCTAATCCATGCAGCCATAGCCGCCTTACAGGCTTCGCTGAACTGGCCTGAGTGTGTGTCTGTCATTGTATGTTGTTGCTGTGTGCTGTTGTTATCTGATGTGAACAGTTCTGTGGAAATTAATTTCCCCTTGAGGACAAAATTAATAATTATAATAATATGATATTTAATACTGAAACACTAACAAGAGGCGATTTTTCTGCAGTGAGCACTTTTACTTTTGAAACTTTAAGTGCATTTTGCTATTAATACTAATGTACTTTTACTCCTGTAACATTTCTAATGCACTTAAACTTAATGGATTATTACATTAAGGTATTGTTACTTTTACTTAAAAGGATCTAGACTCCAGTATTACCTCCAGGCTAAAGGAGTTGTGCAGTACGTCCCTCCTCAGACACACCCGGTGCCAGTGTGTTGGGGTCAGCCGGAGAGGAAATCGGTGTCGGACCCTCAGCAGCCACCCGTACAGCGCCTCATCGTCTCCCTCCAGACCCAGCTCAGGTCTGGGTGCATGGACCGAGCTGTAAGAGAAGGCCACCCAGGCTCCGGGGACAACCACGCGGATGTCGACACACACAGTCAGTTGAAAGAGCAACGGCATGGCGGCCCTGTCCTGCAGGGTCCAGTGATCTTCACAGCCATTTAATACTGCTTTAGTGTCTCCCAGGAAATAGCCATGTGCTTGAATGGATGAAAACAATGCAGATTTAAAGTTCAGGTTTTCTGCACTTGGAAGAGATATAGTGTAGCCACAATGGCTAAACCAAGAGCCAAATCACTTTTAATCTTACTTACAAACCACAAACTGTAAGATAGATACATGTCCAGCAGATACGGAGAAACATTAGCATTTATTTAGAGTAATTTTTATGGCCATCTGGTAAATTTAAGTCCAATATTCACTCTCTTTTTGCTCTGTTTTCATCTCAACCAACTGCTGGTTCTTTAGCAGCTAATGTTCCACTAGCACTAGCAAAAGTACTTGGCAAAAGTGAGATACAAGATGCTAGATACTTCTCTGTGGCTTTATAATATCACTTATTAACTGATTAATGCCGCTCTAAAGAAGGGTTTCATTCAACCATTAATGTTAGTTAGCGTAGCTGACCTTTAAGGTTCAACTGAGCTGTACAGTTAAAGTTTAATGCTAAGCTAATAGCAAGCCCAACCCATTTTAGGATTAACACAAATAGCTTCTTACAGACATAACATTTTTAAATGAAAGGTTAGGAACAGCTGGATTTTTCAGTCCCTGAAGAAAATAAGACACAACTGCCAGTAAAACAGAAAACAATAACATTAGCGTTTCTAAAAGGATCAGTTTTATCCATAAGGGTAAAGAAACCCCATCAGTTGTTTTTGTTTTGTTTTGAAGATGTTACCATTGTTGTTGTGACATCCCTTTTCTAGCTAAGACCTTGGTGAACATTACCATTACCAGCAATTCAGTGTTCAGTATCCTGCTCAAGGATACTTCGACATGTGGTGGGAAGAGCCGGGAATCGAACTAACAACCTTCCGATTAGTGGATGACCTGCTCTCCCTCTGAGCCCAGCAGTGAGCTGTAGACTTTTAGCCAAGTTTCATTACTGATTCTTGGTGTTAAATTTCAAGCAAGCATGACAATACTATCACCAGTGTAAGGAGCTTTAGTTTTGTTATTTTGGTTGAGTTATATACGACTCGAGGGAGGGTCATACGCTGTACACACTGTAAAGGCCCTTGAGACAAATTGTGATCTGTGCTATATAAATAAAATGGACTTTACTTGGTCCTGTGTGCTATTTCATGTGTGCCTCTTTATATGCAAAAGAAATTTCATTCCAGCAATTTAAAATTAATATTTTAAAGTCTCTATCTCCTTCTCTCTTTGATATTTATAATTGAATCTCTAATTACCTTTGGGTGGAGCGGCAGCCAGCAGCAAAAGCCAGATGACAAGAAGGAAATGTTGTGTCCATCTCCACTGTCCTTTAAAGCAAAGGCCATGCATCCTCCTAGAAACATAAAGGTGACATAAATTCACAAGAAACGAGACATCCTCCTCTCCTTTTGTTTTTGCTTTGATCTATTTGCCTTTGTCTCCTTCGCTCATTTATGGCGATCACGGATATTTGAATTCATTCCAAGCTTTTTTAGCAACTAAAATTGTTTGCCAGCTTCCTCTTCCCAGATCTGTAATCCCCACCCTTCCGTGCAATCTGTGTTCCTGGGTGTGGATACATGATGACAGCATATCAATGATTCAGTGGTGGGATTGCACAGAAATCCTCCTTTTCAGTTTGTAAGCTAAAACGATCTAATATTATCTGAGGCTTTGTCCACACTGACGGATTGACTGCAGGGCAGGGGTGGGTTGGGTTACACCTCACTGCATTCACACCTTCATAAATTACAGGTTATTGTTGCATGTGTTTTTATTATGTTGATACGCCTCAGTTAATGTTAGTAAAACTAAAGATAATACAGTATCCCACATAGAGTAGGCTGCTTTGATAATGGCAGCAAACAGTTTTACACATCCAGCAGACATAAGGCAACATTAGCATCCATTTTGAGTTGTGTTTCTATCCACTAAAAAAAAAAAGGGATTAAATTAACAACGTCTGGTTAGTGCCATTCATTTAAAAAAAAATTATATATGAAAAGGCATAATAAAAAGATATAAAGTACTGTCAAATTTTTACTTACTTTGACAAAATTATGAGATAGTAAGTCAAATTTCTGCACTTAAGAAATATATATAATATTAGAATTACTTTCTTTTATTGGCAGAAATCAGCTTCCATAATCCCGAGGTCAACAGGTGGTGGTTTTCTACCTCAATTTCTATGTTTGTGGTTCATCAATTTATTTTTGAGGCTCAGATACAATCTTATCAGTACTTTTTACATGTTTATCTGTCTGATAACAACAATAATGTTGATCCTTATCCTTATTCACTCAACCGCAGTGTCACTTTGTTCCCACACAGAGCTGGAGAGACTTGTTTACTTTGATCCAAGAGAAACAAACATTATTAATAATTAACATAATGTGCATTTTGTGGGTAGTCTCTGGGTAAAAAAAAAAAAGTTTTATTATAATTGATTAATTCAAATACAGTGCTGTTTGAGAAATTCTAAACCATCTGATCATATATGTGAAACTATATTTGTATTTATCGGCTAGGATGTGATCATCATATGCTCTGTGAGTCAGGTCAGAAAAAGTAACAGTACCTGTTGAAGCCTTGAGGCTACATGGAAGCCATTCTGTTAATGTGATTCCTAACCTCAAGTTCCCACAGTCTGACTTTCTGTCTTTGAACTCATTTTCAACTTGAGACATTTCAAGAAAAGCAGTCTTTCCTGACCCTCTATTGTTTGGGCCACTTTTGACTGTGGTTACGAGTATCAAACCACTTTGTATGCACCATCCACAACATTTCAAACATCATATCTTACAGACAAATTATTCCAATTATTATCATGTCCAAATATAGCAGATTATTTACAGTTTGACCATCTTAAAGGAATCTTTAAATCACTTACCTGATGCTTTTCAAAAGCATCTGCAGTCTGCGTAGGTTTAAGCGTATAGTGTATGTGTGTGTGACTCCTATGTAGGAAGACTTGTCCTCTTCAGTTTGATCACACAGTGCATGTGTCTCTCCATCATTTCCCGTATAATTAGTCAATCCTAACTCCAAAGCTGCCACAGCTCAAATATCAGACAACAGTTTGTCCTAGTGTTTTCCTCTCGTGTGTTGTTTCTTCTTCTCTGTCCTCAGTTGCTCTCTCTCGCTCCTCCAGTATCCACCTGTCTCTTACACAAGAGCATCGTCTTTAGGGTCAGGTGCCTGAGTTTGTGCCTGAGCGTGAGTGCGTGCCTGAGCGTGTGGAGGTGTGTTCAGGAAATCAGAAATTCTGAAATGTAATGTGAGGTTTGCCCGGGGGAGACAGTAGACAAAATAGTGACACACACCGAAAGAGGAGGAGGGAAGAGACTAGATAATACATCATGAACAGTGTTTTATCTATCTAGATGTCTGTCTGTCTGTCTGTCTGTCTGCTGCCCGTCTGTTTGTCTCAGTATGACTGGAGGGCAGCAGCTGGTAGTACAGGATGCAGGACCAGACAGTTCCTGGACAGAGTATTAGTCTTTATCTGGTGTGTGTTTTTGTGTGTGTGTGTGTGTGTGTGTGTGTGTGTGTGTGTGTGTGTGTGTGTGTGTGTGTGCACAGGCACATGCACATGCATCAGTGTCTATGGGTCCATAGTAAAGTATGCAAGATGCAGCAAATTTCAAAGACAGCCACAAATGACATGGTAGGATTAAGTACAAAATGTTGGATTCTGGTTGACAAACCGGTCAAACATCTTCCCTCTGTCTCTTTCTCTCTCTCTCTCACACACACACACACACACACACACACACACACACACACACACACACACACACACACACACACACTGGCGGCAGGGCTGTGAATATGAGGAATGGCATCTGACGTCAGACGTAAAATGAATCCAAACAAGACAAGAGCAGCCTCAGGGCGACACGGCTCTTCCAATCTCAGTCTTTACTTGTCTGTACTGTCTGTGTATGTGTGTGTGTGTGTGTGTGTGTGTGCGTGCGTGCGTGCGTGCGTGTGCGTGGTGAGGGGCATCCAGGTAATTAAGTAGTTGACACTGACCACAAGGGGGCAATAAAGACTACCATGGGTTTTCCACTGGAGATCAAGTGTCAGCCTTTGTTCATTTTTACTGAGGGATAACAAAACTGTATCAGATCAGTGGAGCAAAGCAGGACTGCAGCACGTTACTGTTCTTCTTCAGTGACGCAGCACTTTTTGGGTGAGTTAGATGTCAGTGTGCGTGTGTGTGTCTGTGTGTGTGTGTGTGTGAGAGTGTGAGAGAGAGAGAGAGAGAGAGAGAGAGAGAGAGAGGGAGCATAGTTCAAGCTAAAGTGAATCAAAATCCCACCGGCAACCTTTTCTCTCTCTGTTCTTTTCTGCACAGGGACAGCCGGAGACGACAAATTATTCAACTCATCACGGCTTTGCAAAAATGGCCTTTTCTATTCTAGAAAGAGCATCTGGGCTGTCTTGTGTGACGATGTTACTGAGTTTTCAATGTGTGCGTGATGATGAAGACAATACCTGTCCCCTACCTGTCTCTGGGAGTAGGCGGAGAATTAGCATGCAGAAAGGTCACATTCTGGGTACATTGGGTTTCAGTGTCCTGCCAAAATCTCCCTAAGTGAGTTTCTGCGTGTCACTCTGTAGCAGAAGGTCATAATACAGTAAATACCAAAGGTATTCACTGAATTTATAAGCTGCAAATAGCTCAGGGACTTTCCAAGGACATCCAGAACCTTTTAAGAAAGTTAGGCCCAAAAACCCCAAAGGTTTATGCTCCTGGGTACTAGTTTCCGATGAGAAAAGGATTTTCTGCTGAATTTTACACCAGTCATTATTTTTTTAAATGCTAATGAAAACATGCTGTTTTGACTGTGAAGTAAACAATGTCAGAAACTAAAGTAACTGATTGACATAAATTGAGGCTTAGTGTATACAGTACAATATGGTACTACGCTGCCTTTAACATAAATTTGGCTATATCTTTTTTTTAGCCACCAGTTGATTATCATTCAAATTTGTACAGACATTCCCCAGAGGATGAATCATACTGACTTTCATAAGCACCACAGTGAGGTGGATGCTTTTATTTTTTAGTGAAATGTCTCAACAACTAATGTCAGGATTGTCATGACATTTGGTACAGGCATTCATGTCTTCCCCCAAAATGAATAGAAAAGAAGAGTGACTTCAGGTCAAAATTTTCATTTACCCATGTAAGGGACCAAGCAGCAGGACACTGGAGGAAGCATTTTGCAGTGTTCATGTTTTAAAAAGGGGTTTTATTTACCAAAAAAAAGGAGAAAAAGCTGAGCAAATTTACTCAACCATTATTGACTAAATAGGACCCTAAAAGAGGTCAACAAAACAGAACTTAACTCAAAAAACAGAAAAATTAACAGCAATAAAACTAGGTGTTTATCCAACCCACAGAAAAAGACAAAACTGACCTCCTTTCATGCAGGGGGGACATATAAAGTGGCAGGCCAATCCAATAAGAGGTGGGCAAAACACTACAGCTACAAGCACAGACTTGCAGTTAACAAACTACAGAGTTTTTTGTTTGTTGCTAACTCGATATTAATATGGAAAATAGAATATCTCTATATGAAACATAACAAAATGAACTGCAAAATACTCACAAAAAGAGGGTCTTTCCCCAAATCCCCCCTTTGCTGTGTGTGGTATAGTCCAGGGTCCAGGTGTATGCAATTAACACTGCTTTTAGTTTAGGATTATACCAGTTTAAGAAGTATTAGGGTGTGGAGGTAGTGGGAAGTGCAGAAGCGGACTAATTAAACGAATGTAGAACACTTAGACATTGACATGGACTAATGAGGCAGGCAGTAATGAAACCTAAAGGATGGCACCAGCTGGATGCAAGCAACATAAAGGACCACACTGTATACATCGAACCTCAGTTTTTCAATCAATGACCTTAGTCCCTGACGTTGGTTTCTTTATCTCTCTCCACAGTCTCTCACTACACGCCTTGTGTATTTATTGTAAATCAAAGTGAATTGCAGCCCAGTATTTTACACCTCACATCAAACTCCACGGCTCCTACATTGATCTGCTTTACTTTACTTTCCAACGATGCAGAGGAAGCAACCATAAACTGCGTTTGGATTGACAGCACGATTGATTTGGCCACAAGCGACTGAGTGTGGGAGGTGTCTGTGGTTCCTGGTGGTCCTGCTGCATCCTGAGTGTTTCTACCCTGAGAGCTCAGGCGTAAGTGTGAACAAATGGGCTATTAGTTATGGAAAGAAAGGACAGAATTTGATTTTACAGGAAGGGAGAAACGTGGGTTTGTTACAGAATTCGATTTGACTTTATTGGTTGGACTTTTCTAACTGAAGAAGATGTTTTTTCCAGGATGTTCATGTTAGGTAAATGTCCCATAATTTACCATTTCTACATGCACCAGAGCATTCCGCTTCCCTTTGTGTGTGGTTTATATTTAGAAATAACCGCATTCAGCCGTGTAATTGTGTAAGTGCCATGTTTTACAAAAGATGACGCAGCCCACAGTTAGAGGTGCCTCCAGCTTAGAGTTCGTGCATGTGCTCTCAACAAAACCCAACTGGCAGCACTCATGGGTGGGAAGCCGGTGAGGGATCGTGCTCCATCTTTTACTGGTGGTTGTGGCGCCTGCACAGAGCCATGAGAGAGAACAATGCTTTCATTCAAGTGTCAGAGAGCAGCATGGATTAACAATAGGAAGCACTCCCACACACACAGACCTTCAGCCGCGGAGATGAATTCAAGAATAAATAAAAAAGGCAACAAGCTCCTTTCCCTTCAGGGGGGAGAGTAACAGGAGGCTGAAAGAGAACAATACTTTCATTCAACCGGTTTACAGATCAGAAAGACAAGAAGAAACACAGTTTAGGTGCTGCTCTCATTTCCTGCAGAATAAAGCTCTCTGACAATTATAATTGTCTGACCTGAGTTAAACTCTGAGTGATCGGACATTTACAGTGAATAAAACTTGTACATGTTCCCAGGTGTTAAATAGATTTAAAAGGTTTTAGACTGCTTTTACTGTACACATGTGGTGGTTGGCAGACTTGTTGACAATTATATACTATTTATACCTACTGTATATTGCACCAGAACAGAGAGAGATTTGCTTGGCTTTAGGTTTTGGGTCAGTTTGGGACCCTTGACCATCTGTCTAGGGGCAAAATGTTCACATAGTACTCAAGAAATCTTATACTGGGCAGACAATGCTAGTCATTTTAACTCAGCCCATACGTTAAGCATCATTAAGAGAATTGAGAAGGTAGAGCTTGAAGACTTGTGTTTGGAAGCACTGATCTAAGCATTATGGGTAATGAGTAAATAAGGGTCCAGAGCTCACTGTCAAGAGGGACTATTTCTTCAATAGAAAGTAGTTCCAATTATAACTGATGACACTGCGTTCTGTGAATTAGCAAGAGTAACTGGGACACTGTTTCAGCCATATTTCTACCACAAACAAAATCACATTCACTTCCACTGACTCAGGGTAATAACCACAGCCATCTGCAAGCCTACCATTAGAGGCAAGTGATTTAAATGAGCCCACCCTTTCATTTTGTTGTGGCTCATTAAAAATATTAACAACTGTTTAATAATGAAAAGAAAAGTAATGTTTTGTGTCCCCAATGTCATAATACGTATCAAAGTAACTCCACCCTTAATTTCAGTATCTGATGTGGCATAAACGCATAGTTTTTACCTCAAGGACAGAACGTTTGGACATATTAAGAACCAATTTGACACCATTTATGTACAAAACTAAAAATATTAGAACCTGCATCAAATCCAAAACCACTTAAGAGCATGTTTTTTTTTTTATTTGACTTTATTTGTCCAGCATTAAAGTAGAAATACTCAAGTCATACAGATGATTGCCTCATGTCATTTTAGCTGTATTTGTGCAACTTGGTATGGCGAACAGATAGCAGTAGCCAAACAACGTGATCAGATCTAAAGCAAGTTTTTTGTAGACGTGAAAAATGTGGCACTTCCTCTGTGGTAACGGCTGATCCTCAACTTCCAATTGGCTGTTTGGGAAATAGCTCATTCACATGCCACACAGCACTAGCAACAAGCAGGTAACCATGGATACGCTGCATTGAAACCCATCTTTCTCTCTTCTTGTCTTCCCTCGCCTCCCACTCTCCTTCACTTGTTTCCTCTTGAACCATCAACCTCTGTTTTTTTCGTCCTATCTTTATGTCAGTGACACTATCCGTTTCTTCCCTTCTTCACAAGGATCAGCATTCTTGTCTGCAGCATGCATAGCGGCTGCTCAGACTACAATGAACCAATTCCCAGCCGGCAGTCACCATGGCAACCAGGGGGGCCAAAAAAAAAAAAAAAAAAAACACACAACATCATCCCATGCTCAGACAGTAGTGATCTGGTCGACCACTCGAGTGCTGTCGTTCATTTCAACACACTCCACTTCCTGTCTCTGGCCCTCTCCTTCGGGCCGGTGTCCCCGGCTCTTGGAGGGAGGCAGGAAGGTGAGGAGGGTGGGCAGGAACGCAAGCGTGTGCAGGGCCGAGCAGCCGGCCGTGAGGGTGAGGCAACGAAACAGTGTGCGTGTGAGGTTGGAGCGTACAGAGCCAACAGGCACCAGAGCGGCGCTGTAGCAGATGAGCGTCTGTAGAGAGGGAACCCCATGTCTCTCCAGCGCCACTCTCACCCAGCGAGTCCTGCTGTCACCCCGACCCGAGGCGAAACCACAGAGGAGGGGGCCGCTGCAGTCTGCTGAGTGCCCCAAGGCTGAGATCAGACACAACACAGACATGCAGTCCAGCTCCACACCCCACAAGGTCATGAAGCCCAGCACCCCGAACTGGACGGAGAGCAGGGTGAGGCCTAGCCATACAGAGACCAGCGGCTCAACGACGGCCAGCGAGGACAAACCCAACAGGAAGAGCACCGCCAGCAGTGAGTGTCTGAGGGGGGAGCTGACCGCTGCAGCGTAGCGGTCCAGGTAGACGAAGGAGGGGTTGAAGATTAGGAAGCGGACACGTGAGGTCAGTGACAGGCGTCGCAGCGTGTCCAGCAGCACTGACATCTCCTCGCGTTTGTTCTCCGTCGTCTTGGCCACCAGGAAGATTCGGGATGCAGCCACATCGGGCTCCTCGCCCTGACCTCGTTCCGCAAATATGATGTCGTCTGCAAAATGGGCGAACTGCGGCTCACGGAGGAAGGCGTGGCGGAGCGTCCGGGTGAAGTTTTCCCGCGGTTGGCTGGTGGACTGGTTGCGATCTGACAGGTAGTTCAGGTAAGCTTCCAGCCAGCTGATTCGCTGGAAGCCCTTGGCGTATTCCAGCAGGTCCCGCTGCACAGAGACATTCCAGTAGGGGGCACTCTCATAGATGTAAAATCCAATGACAGGCGAGTACGAGCTGAAGTAACGCTGCTGGGCACGGGTGTACAATACTGTCGCTGTATCCATGGCAACCAGTGCACTGGGGTCTGAGCCCTGGGTTACCTGTCGACAACAGAAACATATTATGTGATCGTGTCTGCAGTCTGCAAAACTGAATTACATGGCGTAACAAACAAATATCTTAAAAACCGTTGGGAAAATATTTTTCAGACCATTGTAATCGACATCTGCATGATGTGCAAGATAATAAGGGTTCTCCTAAATTTTGGACAGCAGAGTTTTCTGACACAAAAATAACTGGGATATTTAAAAAATGTTTTTACATGAAACAAAAGCACTGATTAATAAACTGTCTGTAGTCGTAATAGTGACAAAAAAATGCAACAAAACTCCTTTGTAAACTGCTGGAGCCGCACATGATCATCAGTCAATTGGGGAGTCTGTTTCTTAAATAATAATAAATAATAATAAAAGTAAAATAAGTGTTTTTATTTAACATATTTATTGGAATAAATATTCCATATTAAATAAAGAGAGAGAGGGGATGTCAAGGTGAGCAGCAAGGTGAACGACCAGGGAATCTTAATTTTAAGTGTTTTAGTCCCCTTTATATTTATGGACTTTTATTCTGGAGGATTCATGCTAATTCATCCAGAAAACGGTGTGATTGATTAGTTATCCTTACACAGCCCCTTAATTTATGGTCACATTAGCCTTCAGTCCAATGAAACTGACAAACCGTGTCTAAAGTGTGGTTTGTTATATTGTAGTATAATACAGCTTTAAACTGACTTTATTAATAATAATAATAATAATAATAATAATAATAATAATAATAAATGCTAGAATAATGATTTCATTTTTTTCCCCTCTTTCACTGAGTCTGTTGGCTGATCATGCAAATTAACAAGTCAGACTTGCCAACAGCTATGACTTATGAGTCTGCCAGAGCTCGCGCCAAAACAGGAAACACATCTTTCAGTTGTGCGTGAATATAGCGAGACTTGCGATATCCGTAAATATTCACAGAGACCAGTGCAAGTGCGACTGCATCTTTAGAAAACTTTCAGCAGTCTGTAAAAAACCTTTTCCCCCTGATCCTTTGTGAGTTGATTTGACAACCCATTACTAATTTAGCAGTGTTTTGATTGTCTTGAATGCTTGATGGCGAACGCTAAACACAAAAAAGAAGAGTCAGATGTCTGCATATGTGCCTGCATGTGAAAATGTCAGTTATTGTATTTTTGCCTCACCTGTAGGAAGCCCATCAATCCAAAGGAGATGTAAACCAGATACAGCAGAACCACAAAGGGTTTGACATAGGTGTTAGTGATCCAGTCTCCATAGCAACGCCTCACACAGCCCAGCAAAAGGTGTGAGTCCTGAGGATGAGGGTCCGTGTTAGCTGTGGGATGTGTGAGTGGGTGTGGATGTGTGTGTGTGGAGTTAGCCACGTGGACGTGCCCATGCGCGGCAGGGTTGTTTGCCGTATGCGGATGCGTGTGTGCATGTGTGTGAGTTAAGCTGGGGTTTGGCGTGTGAGGGTGACTGACCCCGACGCCGACCCCGTGCGGTGCGTTGGTTGTTTGAGTCTCATCCTGGTAGCGAGTGTACATTAAACACCTGTACCATGCCGGTTTAGAGTCCAGCCGGTCCGGTTTGGGGACTCTCCGGCAGAAGCAGCCATGTCTGTACCCGGTCTCTAGGTATCCAGTGAACACCAGGCAGGAACTGTAGAAGGACAGCATGTAAACATAGCTGATGGTCACAGCCAAGGCGGCAGTGCGGCAGAAGAGCCGGACGGCCTCCATGTTGGTCAGCGGCGAGGCGGCCAGGCCCAGGGTCATCAGGTGGAGCATGGTGGAGCCGGAGAAACGCAGCATGACGTCCTCGAAGACGCTCGCCACACGCTCCTTCACATGCTGGTCCTCCCGGGTTCGCCGCCATGATGACAGCATCTCGAAGGAACCGAAGAGCCCGTGACCTGATGGGAAACAGAAATAGGAATGTAAGTTGAATGAAGGGGAATTGTGCTATATTGCCTATTTACCCAGACAGAATGACTCAAGGATGATTCATATTTTTATCAACAACCGATCATGTAATGTAAAAAGAGGTTGCTCGAATTGATGAACCCACAGAGGAGTCTGCACTTTCCTAAAGCACTGTAGAGCGTTTTAGCTTCTTTCAGCTCACTGATTTGGTTTTACAGCCCACAAATTTAGTATTTGGCTCAGTCTCCAAACATACAAACTAGCTAATTTACAAACAACCTGTTTCCTTTTTCCTTGGATGACTTGATTACACCCTGGTGGCTCTCATCAACCTTGTTTCCAGCTGCAGCAGGCACTGATAAACCCACTGTACAGTACCCGCCCCGCACCAAACAGCTGAGAGACAAAGTTAGCTGCTAGCTGGTGAATATGAGTATTTAGCGGCTAAAGAGCCAGCGATTCTCTTCAGGAGTCAATGGGAACCAAAGCGGAGGACAATGGATTGGACGATGGATTGGACAATGGATTTGCATTTGCCAGGGGAACAGACACGACTACAAATGAATGCTAATGTTGTTCTGTGTGTGCTAGATGCTAATCATTCACCATAACAACTTTATAAGATGATAATATGTCAATGGTGTGTTTAAAGCTTGTTCTACTGTCCAAAAAATGAATGAATGCAGCTTTAAATTACAATTTGTAGTTTGGTTAAAGGATCTTTGAGGAGGTTTTAATGACATATTTCCCGACTTTAGAGAGAAGCTGTGACTGATCATACAGAACTTAAGCTAAGCTAGGCTAACTTACACTTCCACCTTCACAGACACAAAACTCAGGTATTGGTGTTGTGCAACTAAGATGGATAAAATCGATATCCTGGAAAAGACAATGACATAAAAACTAGTTCATTTCTTATCAAGCTTTCCCTAGAATGCTTTGACTGCTCCACACTTGGCTTCAATTTATTCATTTCGTGGAATCACGACGTTGCATAAGGAAGTGTAATAACTCAGCCTGCCTGCTTTTGAACAGTCCTCTCCGCGTAATGTCACACCTCAACCCTGTTTGAACTGGAAATATGTGAAATGATTGACGTGCCACGCCACGAATATGCAGTTTTCTTGTGACTTTAACAATCCTAGTTGGGAAATTGTAAGGTTTAATGCATTTTTGATTCAATAATAAAAATCAATGTCCATTTAACGTGAATGAGTATACCAGTCCAATCTCATGTGCATGCACATACATGTTTGTATGTGTGCAGCAGATGGTTTTTAATGGTTTCCTCTTCAGTGGTTACCATGGCACCAGTGAGTCACCACTGACACACATTACCCCCTTCCTCTCTCTCTCCAGTGACCTCACCATGGCGAAACACTTAACACCTTTGTAGAGGCATAACGTACCGACACTTGAGGCGTGGGTGCAACTGAGAAAGTCTGCAGTGTGTGTGTGTGTGTGTGTGTGTGTGTGTGTGTGTGTGTGTGTGTGTGTGTGTGTGTTTGAGAGACAGGGAATTAGACAGTGAATGACAGGGAAAGAGGTGGAGGGTTAATGTTGCAGAGAGAAGATGAGAGCCAAAAGAGAGCACTTGCTTTGGATTTTGATATTTACCAGAGCTTGAGACCGGCTAATGTGCACTCATGGACAAACACCCACACAGACAAGCACAGTCGGGTACAAATACATGAGAAATTACCCATAAGATGAGGATGTGTCCTTTTGCCAGAACACTTTCAGTCTCTTGATATTACTGTTGTGTCGAGTTGAAAGTGCTGGTTGTGGCCAGAGTGGCTGCAGCTCATACTCACACACACAAACATGCAGACATGCAAATACAAGGATACAGTTTCTGTGTATAGTTTGTACTTCCTTAATCCCGGTGATACCTCTTTCAGTACCAATACCAAAACATTTTTTTTTAAATATGAAAATAGAAAAAAATAACCTAAGAAAGCAAACTTCTAAAGTATATATAGTTCATTTGAAAAGTTGTAAAGGAGCTTGACCTAGAATATTATGATTTAAATGATGAATCTGTTTTGACATCATAACATGTGAAGAAGGAATAGTGAGAAATGCTTGTTTTGTCTGAAAAACAGTCCCAAAACCCATAATATTAAACTAGTAAAACAGAGAAAAGCTGAAAATTATTAAATTAGAGAAGCTAGAAGTATTTAAAAAACAACCAGAATATTAACCAGACTACAAATCTGGCCACGTTTTTTATGCCAGTTCTCTGTACTGGACAATTTCAACACAATTTCCACAGTGCCTAAAAAGTATTTGAGGCTCAATGCCACACAAACTTGGATCTCCATTATTTAAAAATGTTTGAAAATGGACAATGTTATGAGTAAGTGAATGCACAAATGACTGATATGTGTCCTAAATAAAATAAGCCAACATCATCATCATCAATTTACCTCCCTTTGAACACAAACACACCTCTTGTCAAAAAATGAGTAAATGTGAGGATATTTATTGCTATTTCCCCCATCAGTACCTCACTTTCATCTCTCGGAAGTTTATGAGCCTCATGTGAAAACACAGGTTGCAAAATGTTGTCACAAATCCACAATAAAAAATAAAAAATGTCTCCCTCTTCCTCTCTTTCATGCTTCCTCTTTCTCGGCTGTGTACTCACATGCTTCTTTTTTCTCCTCACACTTCCTCCCACCTTTTTCTGTCAGCCCACTTGATTCTGAAAAATCCTCCCTGCCTGCCTTCCTTCCCTCTAACTACAGTTTAACTTCATTTTCTGCTGAGAGAATCCTTCTCTCGACCCCCATTTGGAGTGATATTTCATCAAGCCCCCTCTCCGTCTCTATTCCCCTGTCTCTTCTGCTCTCTCTACAGTTATTTTAAGCCTAACAGCAGCCTTTCCTCCTCCACATTACAGAGTAATTATGGTATAGACTACATGTGTGCATGAGTGGTCAGCACATCCTACAGTATTAAGTATGAGTGCAGTGAAGTTAAACAGCAACGCCTTCACATATGACAAGCATTTTCATTAAGCTTATAGTTAGTTAAATTCTTATTCAGTGTATTTAAACTTATCTTTCTGTTCGCTGTCTTCATTTTATCACTCTACAAAAAATAAACTAAACACGCAAGCTGCTGCATAATTTGCAGGCGCAGTCACGCTGAACTGCTAAAGCAATCACTGTGGCTTCACGGGCAGAGATGGTTTATTAACCCGCTGTAAGCAGATTTTTGACAAGTTAATTCCTAAACCACAATCAGTGTATTTGGGAATAAAAAAACAATTATTTTTTGCCTTAAGTTAACCAAGATTCAAGTGTATTGGTCCCTCTACAGCACAGCTGCAGTCAGTAGAATAATTCCTTTCTAATTAAACTATTTTATTTCCTCTAATAAACTGAAAATGTCCACCCTCCAGATTTGCGGGCTGGTCCCTTGAGGACTTCGGTCATGAGTGTGACGTCAAGTTTACAGTATTTCTACGCATTAGGGTTAATGCTCTGAAGAAAGTCTGGTGAAGCTTGCATCCCGTATGGATAAGGGATACTGACCTTATTAAGGCCATGATATGATCGATCTTCATCGCTTTATAAAATTCAGTTTTTCTGCTATAATTTACATCCATTGAGTCACACTTGGCCACTGACTCAGCTTTTGGTGCCACAGCAATCCCTGGCCTGTTGCCTTACATAAAAATGAATCCACTGAATTTCACACAGTGAGGTACACAGTGCATAATTTAAATGTAGGGGAAAAAAAGAGCACTCTTATTGGCAGGTACTGGGTGAGAAAAAGTCAAATTGGTACGGTTAACGGTCCATACCATGTGTCACCTTCACAGCTTCTGGAAATAAGTGTACCGACAGACAGCCTGTCCTCAGTTATGTTTGTGGTGTTGCACTGATTTGTACAACAAGTAATAGAAGTAGTTGCTTTACTTGTGAAGGAGCAGTTGTGGGAAGAAAAAGAAGACAGTTTGAGAGAGAAGTTCAAGTCCTGCCTTACTTTCTCACCTCAGTACATCTGGTCAGTGAAGTGGTATGAAGTGGGACTGCTGGTTTAAAACATTACAAAAAATGTGAGACTGTGGGAGTTGAGCCCCTCAATCCCAGCGCTGTGGGGGAGGGCGGTGGGTTCTCAGACGCTCTTTAACAATCCAACAAGCACTTAATTTAAAGCATACTGACCTCTTTAAAGAGTCCTTTCATTCAAATAGTCTCAAAGTCAATTTGGACTCTTATAAATGTAAAATAGTGTGAGACCTTCTGGTTCCAGCTTCAGATTTGTTCCAGACTCAAGTTCACGAACCCTAATTTAACAACTTACTTTTCGAAGCCTTGGGATTAAGTTTCTGCCCTCAGTCACAAAATGTCTTGTTAGTACCATCATCCTCCCCCTCAATAAGTCAAGTTCATGCCCAACCACTTGTCAGTCATTTTGATGATCTGTCTACTTTGAAATGGCTTTCAGCCTGAGGCTGGCATCTGCAAAACCCATCAGAGGTACTGAAAAAGCAGACGGCGAACACAGTCTGTGATATAAAAGCAGAGGCAATGTTCAACGTGGCTCCCACCTGTCATGTGTTACCTTCACTTTTCTTTGATTTCTTTGATTCATTGTTTTTGGACTTCCCTGCGTTCAATCACCCTATGTTCTCAACAAGTGTGAATCCAAAAATGTCTAAAGGCTAGTTCCAAACAAATAGAGGATGAAAACATGGACATACAGAGTTATAAAGACTCAAAAGGTAAAATATATCATACATCAAAAATATTAGTTCTAAACCTACCAAGCATGACGAAAGGGATACCCAGGTACGTAGAGTTGTAGGTGGCCCCGGTCAGGTTGAGTATTCCAGCAGCAGTGAGGCCTGACAGTGTGATGGACAGCAGAGCCAGCAGTCCCAACCAGGGTTTAGACCTCACACAGTCCCTCATAGAGCAGCAGAGGACAGCCAGCACACTGCACACCCCCAAGCTGGCCAACAGGGGGCGGCGTGCCAGAATCGAAGAGAACTGGAAGTCCGTCCTCAGAGAAGAGGAAGTGGAATGGTATAGCCCCAACTTTGGGTGCAAGGCCGCAAAGTGCTGTAGCTCAGCACAGAAGGCCTTTTCCCATTGGCTGGCCACCCGGTCCATCAGGCCGCCGCGGGCTTGGAGGTAGTAGGTGAGCTGCAGTGCCCTGGCTGAACGTACACCTTCTCCCCTGGCTCCTGTCCCCGGACCACGCACAGCTCCGCTGGGACCCCAGCCCTGCACGCCACCAAGCTGGTGGCCAATGTACGCCTGCCGTCCGTCCGCCAGCTGGGTGATGGGATACCGCAGGATCGGGGCCGAGCGGTTAGAGGTGCGAGCTGACTGGATCTCCTCCATGGCACGGATGATGTCATCGATGATGCAGATGTTCTTGTCGTCGGGGAGACAGAGGTAGGAGAAGGAGTAGTTGAAGCTGTTGAAGCCTGTTGCCGGGACGGTCACCTGCATCTGGTAGATCCGCCTGTGGAGCTGTGTGCCGAGAAACACACAAAAACGACAAGAGAAGTTAGCTTTCCAGTGGCCCAATTCTGCTAGAAAAAACTCTGTGGCAGGAGCCAAGAAAAGTTCCATCAAAGTTTTTCAGTATGCAGCACAGCAAAACTCACAGCATGTGTGTGTGTGGCTCATTCGCCTATCTTGTGTGCTTCGACTTTCTGGCTGTTTGTTTGCTGAATAAGAGAGAAAGATGTGTGGGGGAGTTTGTGTGTCTTTACTCGACAGAGTAACAATAGTGGTCTCAGAATCCTCCCTCAGTTTCTATGGAGAGAGGACAACAGTGCCAGCATCCACGGTGCTGGTTACTAAGCAACAGGCTTGATGCCAGTCTCTGCCACAGCGAACATGGGCCGAGCTGTCTCCCGCCTCAGAATACTGCATTGACTCCAGAGAGGGAGGGGTGTGTGTGTGTGTGTGTGTGTGTGTGTGTGTGTGTGTGTGTGTGTGTGTGTGTGTGTGTGTGTGTGTAGGAATGTCACTTGAAAACTGATTGGTTTTGAAAGTTCATTCCTTGCACCGTCCTGTTATAAGATTAACACAAATTCATCTTTTTATTTTTGACATATTTTGCTGCCAAAAGATACCAATCTCTCATTATTATTGTTAGTTATTTCCTGTTACCTTAAAATTACCAATCCAGGTGCCTCAGATCACTAAATGAACTGCTCAGTCAGTAATATTTTGAGAATAGTAATTGCAGGCATACTCACATACATGATAGAATTCAGATATACATATATATATAATCTATAAGCACTTTTTGATTGTTAACTGATCATAGCTGAAAATATAAATATGGTTTACTCATCAGAACATTTTAATAACACAGATTCAGTTCTTGCCTAGTGAAAATTCCTGTTTTATAAGAAGCTGAAGACCTGAGTTATACGCTTTTTTATTTTACTGGTGAAGCAGCTCAATTATTAGCATTCGGATCAAGGACTGCGCCTTTAACTTCAGATTTGACTGAGTGGTTACAATATTAAAGGGTAACTTTCTTTTATTTTTCAAGCTCAAATTTTAACAGTGCACAATTGCCCGCAAGAATTACACTGAAAAACTCGATGTCCCCATTACTCACTATGACACAAAAACATGTGGAAATCCAGGTGGAAAAATACAGAAATTACTCTTAATTTAGCATGTTAGAATAGTAAAAACAAAGCAGAAATGAGTCTGATGGGACTTTCATTAGTGTTCATTAGGTATTTGGTCATAAACTAACAAGGTATGGGACAAATAAAAAAATAGAGAATGGAGCTGGATGAAAAGCCACAAAAGTTATTAGCATCCATCCTCTGGGAAACATCTGTGTCTGTACAAAATTTTATGACAATCCATCCAGTGATTGTTGAGATATTTCAGTCTGGAACAAAGCAGCGGATCAACATTGTCATTCACAGAGCCATGCTGCTCTCTGACTGAACAATGAGCCCCTGTTCTTGTATGGTGGTGTACTTTTCTGACTCTTGTGGATGACTCGATACTATGTGACACCCCTGCAAGGTATTTCCAGCACAGATAGGACAAACAAGAAGATCATCTCTCTGATCGACAGCGTCACAGGTACGGTTGTATTTCTCCAGAATCAAAGAGCGAGAGCACTGTTTGACTCACAATGCCGCACAGACACTAATGAATCATACAATCCATCCATCATAGAGGAGAAGAGTTAGAGATTCCTTCACTGACCGGAGCTTAAATAGACCAGAACTCAATGCAGTCGCTGGGTGTGACTCACAACTATTACTCCTGTTGCAAGTGGAGCTCCTGTCTGGTACTGGCTATCACTGCTATTGCTCTCCCGTGCAACAAGTTCAGACCAATACTCGCAGGGTTGCTCGATGGCATTTTGGGAAGCGTAGGAACTCACAGACTGAAGCACAAGTAGACAAGGGAGGCTGGGAGTGTAAGATTATGTAAGAGTGATTTTTCACAGCACTCTCTTTTATGCACCAACGGGTGTCTCTCTCGCGGTAAAGGATGCACAGCTCTAAAGTAGCTAATCTCTAACTGGCAGTCCTCTATGGACTGAGTTCTGTGTATACGTTAAATGGGTCACAATAACCATATTTTACAAACGCACAGAACCATGCATGGACAGGGTATGTACAAACACACACAGCCGACGCAATAGAGCTTAGTGTCTCAGGCCTATTAGTCAGCAAACTCAAATTACAAGCCCATAACTTCATGAAATAATTTGGCTAATTGCTCCAGGGGTGTCAAGCTAATATTCGTAAATCCATTTAGGAATACCAACAGCAGAGACAGAGGCCTCCGAGCTCCAGCTAACTCCACTTTGTAATTAAAATGCTCTGCTTCATAACTACAAAGGTTACCGGGGTTATCTGAAATGGGACTGTGTTGTTCTGCTTAATGACTATCAATCACTGGGAATGAGGAGGTGAAGGCCGCTTGCATGTGTGCTCTGGCCTGCAGACACTGACCTTTACCTCTGCCTTTCTGAATGTGACTGGGAATTGATTTTGTTTTTTAAAGTTGGACTCTGCAGGTGCATTGCAGCCTGGTTTTATGGTGTGTGTCTATATATACTGTGATTTTAAAGGCACAGAAACAATATGGTCAGATATTGGAGCATAGTGTGCAAATGTGGGCCAAACTGGGTCTCAAAGCTTTACAAGACAGCAGTTTAAAACGTTCAAGTCATCACCAGCATTTGTCCTGTTGTTTTTAGTTTTAACATATTTTATATATTATACATTTTATATATTTTTATCACCTCAAAAGCACTTTTTATTTCCACTTCCCGTGTTGGTTTGCAGGGCCAGAGCTCAGTGAAATACTCTGACTTCTTACAAATCTATGACTTAGTGTGTGCGCGTGCCGTGCCGTGCGCGTGCGTACCTTCAGTATGGTGTCCAGATGAACCGGGTCCAGCACGCTCCCCTTTCGGGTGGTGACGATCACGCGCCCGTAGCGGCCCGGGGTTTGCAGGTCGGAGTAGAGCGCGTGCTTGGAGCGGTTCACGGGGAACAGGCTGTCCACCAGGTTGCCCTCTATCTTGGCCAGGCTGTGCTTGGGCGCGAGCAGGCTCTCCACGTCCTCCTCCACGCGGTACCGGCTGAAGCTGGCCCCCAGCAGGATGGAGAGGAGCACGGGCGCCGAGGCGAAGAACACCGGGTGGCTCGCCACGAACCGGCCCAGCGCGTGGAAGGAGGTCCTCAGGCCCGCGTGCAACACCTGGCGCAGCATCCTAGCGCGCGGCCGCGGCTCGAGCCTCTCCCACCGACCGGAAAGCCCCGGAGCACTGCCGAGCATCAGGGGCTGCCGGACGCATCGGTGGGCTCCGTCGCTCTCAGTCTGGTGGAGGAGAGGTGACGCCAGGTGGTTGGAGGATTTGTCCCCCGGAGCAGGAGGTCACCAGCCGGGGAGAATCCAACCCCCCTCCGGTCACAGGTGCGCCGCTTTCCCCGGGGTTCGCTCATCCGCTGGAATAGCGCAAAGGACAGAAAAGCTGCTAAATGAGGCAGCACTTCTCTGCTCTGCGGTTAGAAAGCATATTGATAGCCTACTTTACATTTAATAGCCACTACCCTGCTGCGTTCAGAGCCTTCTGCGGGCTGCATGGCTCTGTGCGCAACAGAAAAATCATCGCAGAGCCAAAGTGGTCTCATAATTACACTTGTTAAGCTTCCTCCAAAAAACTGACTGATCAATGATTTCAGTAGTTCTGTTCGTGCACTCGGACAGGTTGCAGAGAAGACACACAGTAGTTGCACTGAACTGAAGCCTACATACCTAAACAGGGGAACGGGGGGACCGACCCGGTGATGACGGAGATCATCTATTCAGACCAAGATGTTATCCTGCCGGCTGTCCGCGCGTCCAGCTCCACCCTTACACCACCGAGTCACCACACAACCTGATGGGTGGTCGAGGTGGGTGGGTTCGGCGGGTTAGGTGTGAGTCGCAGGATAGGTGACGCGGTGTGCACGCACCGGGGATGCCGGTAGAGAGCTGTTTGTCAGATCAGCCTAATCTGGGTTTCCTCTGCGGCAGAAAGCTCTCTGTCGTCCGTCCTCTCCTCCCCTCATCGCCCCGGTGGATTGACGGAGCCCCTGTTCATCCGCCACCGGGCTGCTCTCCCAGCAGCGACTGCTCTCCTCCTTGGGAAGGCACGTCACTAATTACCGGCTTTCAAACCGGGGACCGTCTCTCTCTCTCTCTCTCTCTCTCTCTCTCTCTCTCTCTCCCTGTTTTTTTTTTTTTGTCTCTTTTGCACCGCCCTCACGACCCCGCCTCTCGCCGTTCCGCGCCGCTTCAATGCAGAGAAACAAACAGTCAGATACCGAGTGACTGGTAATTTCTAGGAATTACATTTTTTTTTTTAAAGTGCACCCAGCATGCATGTAAAATATGCTTTATAGGTTAAATCTCTATGATCTAACCATCAAAATCTTTTTTTATATCTTTATAATAATCACAGAAAAATGATGTTTCTCTGAAAACTAATGCTACTTAATATTCTATTCTTCACTGGGTTGTTGTTATTGTGTGTGTAATCTATAGTATCTTTTTTAAAAGAAGCTCAAAAAACTAAAAAAAACAGCCTATTGCATTGTGGGCCAATATGAAACCATAATGACAACATGTTTATCTCCTTCCCTGCGGGGTAAAACGTTATTCTGTGTCACCTGTGCAGCTGTTTAATATTTCTCATATAATTATATACGTGCATGCATACATTAAGTGTCCTCAGTCAGCCTCGTGTGCAGATGCATGAAGAATCACTCAGGGTTTGCTGTTGTGTGGCAGGTTGCCATGGAAACCAGACAAATGACTTTCTTTTTTACAAGCCCTGGTTCCCATGGCAATAGTGATGCCACCCATCCCCCAAAACACGCACGCGCACACACACACACACACACACACACACACACGCACACACACACACACACACACACAGTAGTGCTTACACACACAACACTACACACACTTTCTCTCCGTCACACACACAAACACACACCTGCTGACTCCCAATCTGCTTATGGTGTGGAGGTGTTTGACACAGTGGCATTAAAATCAGAAGAGACAGAGACAGAGAGAGAGAGAGAGAGAGAGAGAGAAAGAGCAGGGAGTGGAAGAAATAATGAGTGCAGACAGACCAAGATCACACTCTCCCTGTCTGTCTGTCTGTCTGTCTTTCTGTCTGTCTGTCTGTCTTTGTTTTAAGACCCATGAAATCAAATAGCCAAACAGCTTTTAGTCTGTCTGCATGGGGCCAACTAATGGCTCCGTCTTCTCCCCAGATATCACAAATTAAAGGCTGTTTGGATTAAATACAGAAAAAAAACTTTGTCTTTGCTCCCTCTGCTTGATGCTCAGATTCATAAGACAGAAAATGTCTCACAACTAAAGCTTTTTAACTTTTAAACTGGTGGGCATTTGGCTTACATGGCTCTTAAAAGATTAGATCCTAAGATAACACGATTGCGTATTAGGACACATTTCTTTGTCCGTCTGTTTTGCCTCTGAGGACCATCAACCCATCCAAAGGCTACCAGGTAAATAATTTGCATTTGTTTTGGTGAGAAATTTCTATGTCACTTTAATCTGCTGGATAAGGGATGTTAGACGCATAAATGTTCTGAACATGACACACAAATCTGGTTTTGTGTCATTTGTGCATTGGAAATCAGCCAATATAATTCATTTATTCAATAAAGATAATTTGATTACCCTGTTCAGCAGCAAGACTTCCACTTCCCTGTGCCTTTTCTCTTCCAGGTCTGCACAGAATTTTATATTTTCTGTTAATAATATACTACTGTGATGTTTTTATTCAGCCAAGATGGAAGTACTGAACATCAGACTTTCCTACTTACACTTACACACACAATTTGCTGAAAATAAACTGGTAACTAAAATAAACTGGCAAAATATATTATTACTGAGAGCATGTGCTGCTTTATATTTGACCGAAACTTCACTCATCACTCCAAAGAACCCCATTCATATTCAGCAACAGACATCTCAAAGAATGGAAAATAACCAGTCCCTCCAGGAAGTTGCGATCGTAACATTTAACTCAAAATCAACCAATCCCCATGAGTTATGTGCAGCCCTTGCAATTTTGCCCATTCACCACAAATTTGGCTGTAGTTTCTTGCGCCAAATATTGAGCCGTACGTCACCAAACTCAGTTCCTTGTTTCTACTTGTGAAGATGAAGATCATGCAGACGTGTGACGCAAATGCAGTGCAATTTCATTCTCACTGGAACAAGTTGCCTTAGATTTTTTATGAATTGTACAAAAGAAAAATGCAACTATTATAACCACTGTGCAATGTTCAGTTTCTCCTACAATTTCATTGGAAAAAAATGCCTAAAAATATCATAACATGCATTGCAATTTTTAACAGAAGATGCCATGAAATCAGACATTTTAGGCCATAACAATCCCCCCCCAAAAAAGCCCACAAAATCCTGTAGGGACTTAGTGATGCTCCCAATAACTACTAAAGCACCTGACCCACAACTGTTTAACCAAGGTTTGAACATTCAATTGTGGGTTAATCAGCATGCTGAGAAAAACAATACGCCAATGTTGAATGCCTCCTAGAAAAAGTTAGATAAAAACTAAAAATAAAAACATGGGTGCATGTGCTTATGCATGTTCTAATCCATTATTCAATTAAGCCTCAATTAGCCTTTAATCCCCATTACCAGTCCAGTGAGAGACGAGCGCTGAAGGAATGAATGAGTAAGTGTCTCCCCGGGGAGGAGGGAACAGCAGAATAGAAAATGAAAGACTGCAGAGATATACGGGGCTCGGGGCAGTTTCTGATAACAAAAGTACTAATTAGTGTCGCTAAAGGATTTATAGAAATCAGAATAGTGTGTGCGTGTGTGTGTGTGGGATAGAAAGAAGAAGGTGGAGAGAATGAATGGAGTCCTTTGAAAGCGTGCCAGGCTATTTTCTGCACCTACAGAGTCAAAGGAGGGCGAAAAAAGAGGGGAAATCCTCCAGGGGTTGAGAACTGCAGACAACAACTACACTTACACATACACACATACACACACACAGGCATACAAGATGGACAGATGAGGGAAATAGTATAGGCAGCAAAAAGGAGAGCACCTCTTATGATTGTAACTTTGGACAGGCTGTCATTCTGTCATTCTGTGTGCGTCCATATTTGGACTCCACATGTCATTTGCACTCATGTTTGTCCATCTGCATGACATCCTCTCTCCATAATTAAAGAGAGCTATATGGAGAATTGGTCAGATATTCATGAATAAGGCTTCTCTTATTTCTTTTAGCTCATATTCCTCCGAACTCGCCCACCCTCCTTGTCTTCTACCCCTCCCATCCCCCAATCCATCTGTTTTGGTGGAGGCCATCCATTAATAAAGAGTCTGTCCTTTCATTTCTATTTCCCCCTCCTTCTGTATTATTTATTTACCCATCTATCCACAGTTATGGTGAGCAGATATGGTTGCCGGGTGGGAATGCAGCACCTTCTGAGGGTGAAACCTGAGAAAAACTTGAAAACTTAATTTAGTCCAAACCTCGTAGACAGAAATTTCATTCCAGATATGGAAACATATAATCCAAAAGTTTATAACTGAAATCAGAGTAAAATTTATGAAAACCACTTTACCATGCCCTGACTGGCAGCTCCTCTAACTGAAATTAGGTCAATTTTGAGTGTAGGTGTTACAACGGCTGAGTGAAGTTCAAATGCAGCAAACTTGTCCGATTAGAGGAATTTTTTACACTCCATCCCAGAAAAGTTATAATGTGATGGTTGGAGTTAGTCCGAAAAAGTATTTAAAGTATTTATTAAAATGCTAATTACTGTAATTAACTGCTCACATTAAAACTTCTGTCTTCATGAAACATCTTTAAATAAATGGTACAATAATAGAGCCCAATTAAGTTGCAATCTCCACCTTTCAGACAGAAGCAGTAAATCTGAATACTGCTCGTCACAATGGTCTGAATATAGCTGATATTTGTGCATTTCTTACTTTCACCGTTATCAACACGTACACACACACACACACATAATACTAATTAATATACATCAATGTAAACATTATCAAATTCAGCTTAGCATTCTCACTTGAGGATTGAAATTATTCCAATTTCCCCCTTTTTTGTTTTTCTTGTTTTTCTTGTTTTTCAAGATTAGAGAAACCTGCATTCATTATTTTTGGCCACTTGGGGGCAGCAGAACACTCTGCAAACACGTCACTGATATATTAGCTCTGTAGCAAGTTTATATCAGGAATGGATTATAAAACATTAGCGTTCATTTGAAGTTGTGTTTCTTGCCACCCGATGAACGGAAGTCCAATATATTCACTCTCTTTTTGCTCATCTTTTGGTCTCCACCTTCTCCTGAGGAAAATGTTATCAGTGTAACTGGTTGTTTAGCTGTTACATACTCTATCATGATCACCAGCTAGTTGCTAACATTTTTGTCTGTTGACCACCCCAGCACTAGCATGCAGTGGGATTTTAGTGCTGCATCTGAAAACTAAGAGCAGTGAGAGTGACCCAAAACAGTTAAACCAAAACAATGAGCTGAAAGACTCTAAAATGCTTCATAGAGCTGTGGGCAACTGCAGACATATTTTGAACACAGAGCAACCCTTTTACACACTAATTTCATCAATTGTTAAAATATAAAACATATATTAGAGCAGCTTTCAAGTTAAGCAACAACAAAACATTTGGTTACTATAGAAAAAAAGGTCTGATTGGATTTTTCTTTCCTGAATTTACACTTACTAGACCTGAAGACTTACAAAACAGAAGTTGTTGGTATGACTTGTGTTAAAGGAAATGGAATAAATTCATTAACATCACCTTATTTTCTCATCATACAACATCATTGTCAAATTGCTGCTTGCACATTTTTGCAAGATACTTTTCAAAATGTCCTACTTTGAAGGTCTTCTTGTGTCTATAAAACAAAGTCGTGTCTGTTCAGTACAAACATAATTCATGCACAATTTGAGCGTCCCCAGTTCTACAGTTTGCAATCTTGGCATCTGCTTCTATCTATCCATTTATTCATCTTTATTGTCCTCTCTGCTATTTCTGTCCATCTATTCTCTGCATCATCTCAGTGGTCAGCGGCATTCATAATTTCTAAATGTCATTTGGACATTAGCTCATGGGGCCAGGAAGGATGCTGTAAGTGGGGTGGGTGAT